GCCATCCCTTGCGGCCCCCCACCCCCGCCTTTGATGTAAACAAACCTAGTACGGGTCCGAGTTTATCTCACAGCATCATAGGCAGACATAATGATACGATCTGATTCGATTCCTTTGATGGGTTTGGTCCAGCTTATGTTTTGTGGGACTAAAAAACGAAAGGCTGAATGTTTTTGTAGATAAGTGATTGAATGGAATGGTGGTGTCAATCTAACAGTACCCATAAGTTTCAAGATTAGTTTTATTTCAAAATTTGGCATAGTTTTTTTTAAAATAAAATTTGACATATTATTTTGGCAATGACTCTATATTCATATTCCGTAATTAGGTTATTGAACAGTAGTAATTAAGTACTCCCATAATTGGCAGTAGCTGGTAATTTGTTTACGAAAAATGAATTTGCTTGAATAGCCTTTGCATGATAGGGTCCGAGAATAGTCTTCGGGCCCAAAAGATAAAAAAATTTCGAAGCACTCCCATCGCAGCCCCCACCTTTTGAGGCCCAAGCCTGTCGAAGGAAACATTGGTGAATGTATCTTAAAGCCTTCCCTTGCTTGCAGTCTAAGAAGCATAGAATGCAAGCAAAACCGGACATTAGTAGCCATCATTCATCAACCTTGAAAATTCTCTCTCTCCTAATAAGTTAGAAATTCACTTTCTATGCCTTTCACTCCAACACAGCATCCTCAGGACTCCCCCATTTATAAACCACCAATGTTGTTTCTCCACTCCATCAAACCAGTCAAGAAACAGAACAAAAGTATTTCCCACAGCAAAAATTAATCCTCTCGTCGCCAAAGAATGGAGGCCAAATGCCTGGTTTTTTTGACAATGGCAGTCATGCTGGCACTGGCAAACGGCCAGGAGTCTGTGAAGACAGTGGTGAAGATCGTTAAGGGCAAGAAGGTGTGTGACAAAGGGTGGGAATGCAAAGGGTGGTCACAGTATTGTTGCAACCAGACCATTTCCGATTTCTTCCAGACCTACCAGTTCGAGAACCTTTTTGCAAAGCGTAACACACCGGTGGCTCATGCGGTTGGGTTCTGGGATTACCGCTCTTTCATCACTGCTGCTGCTCGGTACCAGCCTCACGGTTTTGGTACCACGGGAGGAAAGCTCCAGAGTATGAAGGAAGTTGCTGCTTTCCTTGGACATGTTGGCAGCAAAACCTCATGTGAGTATATTTATATAGAAATCCTTGTTTCTGTTTCCTTTTCTACTGCTTTCTATTTGGCCGAACATGCAACAAACAGCATTAATTGGCGTCGCCCAGACTCGAACTGGAGACCTTCAGTGTGTTAGACTGACGTGATAACCAACTACACCACGACACCTCGCGCTGTTGACCTCTTTATCTCTACTTCCTTCCTTGGGACAAATCCATGCGGCTTATACCTGACATATCAGATTCAATTTTTAATCAGCAGTCACGTGGGCTTTTGATTGAACTTAATCTGAAATGGAGCAGATGCTTCTTTTATTGCTTCTGGACTGTTACATTGAACTGTATTCTATTTGAATAATGGCACTGCTCGATGACAATTTCAGGCGGTTATGGCGTGGCTACCGGGGGACCATTGGCCTGGGGTCTATGCTACAACAAGGAAATGAGCCCCAGCAAAATATATTGTGATGATTACTACAAATACACCTATCCTTGCACTCCAGGAGTTTCATACCATGGCCGTGGTGCCTTGCCTATCTACTGGTACGTGGGCTAGAAGTATTGCTTTTCTTTCTGTAAATTATTCTTGAAGCAATTTTACCAATACTTGATTCCTAAGGAAAAACCAGTGCCACGTATTGAAGCTCTTGTGGGACCAATCATCAACTTGACTTGAAAAGGACCCTACTTCAATCATATCATAACACAAAATATACCGAATCCCCACAAATTTGTACTGATTTTCACTGGACTTTCTCTTACTGGTTTTTACCACAGGAACTACAACTACGGAGAAACTGGAGAGGCTTTGAAGGTGGACTTGTTAAACCACCCAGAGTACTTGGAAGACAACGCTACCTTGGCTTTCCAGGCTGCAATGTGGAGGTGGATGACCCCGGTCAAGAAGCACCAACCCTCAGCCCACGATGTTTTCGTCGGTAACTGGAAGCCGACCAAGAACGACACCCTGGCCAAGAGGGTTCCAGGCTTTGGCAGTACCATGAACGTTCTCTACGGAGACCAAGTCTGCGGGCAGGGCGACAGTGAGTCCATGAACAACATCATCTCCCACTACCTGCATTACCTTGACCTGATGGGAGTCGGCAGAGAGGAGGCAGGAGCCCATGATGTGCTCACCTGTGAAGAGCAGGAACCTTTCACCGTATCTCCTTCCTCTGCAAAATCATCCTGATCACCTTCCTGTCAGTGGTGATTCATCAGCCTCTTCCATTGGCAATGGAAGGGCAACTTTTAATATTGTTTTTGGAAATTATGCGTACCTGATGATATGATTTACTGAAAGATGCGGAAATTATTTGAAATCCTGGTCTTTGTGTGAAGCCACATTACCCTGAACAATTATGGAGTTTACATCATTTTGATGCTGTGCAAAATTTTTTGATACTCATTTTTACTTTCAAATGTAATTCTTATGTGATTGAATGAGCCATATACCTATTCCCACAACTTGGAATAATAAAAAAGTAAAAAAAAAAGATAATATTAAAAGTTGTAATCTTAGGAATCGTTGGCGGTGGAAGTCGAGAGTTGACAGTTCTTGCCACTTGGAATTTTAGAAAATATAAGAAAAAGGAAATGGGTGGCCTAACACTAATTAATTTGTAATCAAGCAAAGGAATATAATTAAACGTTTCTTTGACAGTTCATCTTGATTAAATATTTAATTAAAAAAATTTCGTTATGGATTTGATCTCGCATGTTGCCTTAATAAAATATCCGAGGAGATGGCTCCAAGGATTAAAAGAAATATAATAAACTTACGCTAGATTCAAAGCATTTAATTCATTTAAAAAATATAATGGGTTCTAATTTGGCAAGTTCATCTTTGATAACTGTATGTTTTTTGGCTAAGTTTCTTTTTATATATTTATATTTGGGGAAACGAAGGATGCAAGTTGAACCTTAAAGGCTGTGAAAGGTCAAATCTGGTGACTCATTTTGGCTTCTTTGATCAAGTAAAAGGAAAACTTTTAAAACAAGATGACATAATGTTAAAATAGATCCTTAAATTATGTAAAAAAATTAAAATAAATATTTATTTTTATTATATCCATGTAACACTAATAAAATATTGATTTAGAAAAAAAATAATATTAAATAATTTTATTATTATATTAAATTTTAACTAAATTAATAGTTAGTTATAAAAATTTATTTGATTTAAAATAAAAATATAAAACTTAATAAAAATAAAAAATTTATTTTAAATTTTCTGAATATTTTAAATATTTTTCTTATATATTATGCCAAATACAAATTGGTCATGCTTGATGTAGCAAGTTTACCTCTTGTAGCCAATTAGATTTTGTTTCACGCAATAAATGAGAAAAAAATGTTACCTACTGGCTTCATTTGGCTCAATAATTAAAGCCATAAAGCTGGGTAGGCTTTGGAGTCTCGCCGACTTAACAGCTTCGATGTCAAAGTGATTTGACTGTTTTAACTCTTCATGTAACTTTGATCCTAATCTATCCATACTTTTTTTTTAATTAAACGTGAAATAATGGATATATTTTTTTTCTCATTTTTTGTAAATTACTTATTCAATGGCAATCGTAACAACTTAATCTCAACAGATAATAAAATATATACATAACTTGATAATTTGTGAAGATTTAAACAGTAAAAACAAAGATAAATTTTTGAAACAAATTTTTAATATTTTATCAGATCCAAATGTATTACTTTTAATTTTTTTATTTGTGTTAAAATAATTTTTAATTTTATTAACCTTTGTCAAACAAATATAAATTCGTATTTTCATGACATATGGCGTGATCACTTAACATGGTCTTATCAGCTGGTTAATTCATATCTCGTGGTAAAATGTTAATTGTTATTGAATTTAGTAATAATTAATTTTTTATTGAGATTAAAGATTTATTTTAATAAAAATTAAAATTAAATGATTGGTTTGGATACAATAAAAATAAAGTTTGATGATTTATATTTAAATTTTTACGAGGTTACAAATAGAAAAAATTTTTAATACAAGAAAATTTTTTTTATTAAATTAAATGAGGATTTTATTCTATTAATAAAATTTTATGGATAAACTTAAAATATTTTCAATATAGAAATATTTTTCAAAATGAAACTCCTTGAAAGTGGCCCATAATAATATTTTTTGAAATTAAAACTGCATACATAAGACCAATTATATGTAAAAAATTTGAACAAAAAAGAGGTTTATTTTTTTATAGAATTTTAAAACAAAATTATTTTATTTATTCATATTCTTTAATAAATTAACTATTTTAATATTAAGAGAAACTTGTGTGGACAAAAATCATCCTTAAATTTAAATCCATATCTCGGGAAAAAAAATGTTATTCATCCATTTTTTTAATTAAAAAAAAACCTCTAAAATGAAATTTCCAGAAACGTAAATAAGAAAATGCTAAAAGAAAAATGGATATAATATTCAGTCGACGTGGCGCCCTCCACACAATCTCCCCATATATATATGTATACATTTCATTTTCCTGTATCTTGGACCAACAAATAAAGAAAAAGAGAAGAGAAAGAAAGGAAGGAAAAAGGGAAATATCTCAAGAGTGTGCAGCGACGGTGATGGAGATGCGAGACATAGACGACCTTCCGAAGAACGCCGCTAACTACATGGCCTTGACGCCGTTGTGGTTCTTGGAACGAGCTGCTACGGTCCATCCGGATAGAAAGGCGGTTGTCCATGCATCTCGTACGTACACGTGGTTCCAAACTTACCGGCGCTGCTGTTGCCTGGCTTCAGCACTCTCTAGACGGTCCGTCGGCGTTGGTAGCACGGTAATCGAATAGTAAACCATAGCTAATCTTCACTTTTTAACAACAAAAATATCAGTGAGATTTAAATCTTTGAGGTTTGACTTCTGAATTCTGTTTTGCTTGCTGAGTAGATAAACAAGGGAAATGAAATGAAATGAATTTATTGTTTGTCTCCTTACCGCTATAAAGATAACGGAGGTATTTAGTCTTTAAATTTCTTTTTTTTTTTGAAAATGTCTTTAAATTTCTGTTTGTAAATAGTAAATATTACTATTAAGTAGCTGGCTCGCGGTAATAGGATAACAGAACAGCATAGCGTAGATGAGTTTTTTTTTTCTTTTTTTTTTTGCTTCTTATTTTTTTGATGAGTTTTTTATATTGTATTTTTTTCCATTTTATTCAATTCCTGCAACGTATTCGTTTTTTTATATAAAGTTTTTGAGGATGCTGATGAGGAACGATGGTCGGATGAATTAATGAGTTAATAATTAAGTTCTGTTTCCTAATTTGCTTTAAGTGGGCCGGAGTTAATAATTAAAACTGATTATTCTGGCCAGTGATGCATTATTATTTGAATAAGCTTGAATGCTTGATGCGTTGGTCCCAACTCCCTCAACTCCCAGCATAGGAGTTTTAGGTCACTTTTTGGTCCCAACTGATGAAAAAGCTCTCTCTGTGTGTATATATATATCACACACTCAGACGTTGTAAGTATGTATCAATGTATGTGTGCACTTATTCTACTTGTTGTCTTGGATACTTTAAATTATGATTTATTTGTTGTTGCTTAATCTGGGTATCATGGATTATTGAATGTTGTTAACACAGTGTTATACATCTTGATGTGTTGGTCCCAACTTCCCCAACTCCCAGCATAGGAGCTTTCTTTGGTCCCAACTGATGAAAAAGCTCTCTCTGTCTATATATGTCACACACTCAGATGTTGTATGTATGTATGAATGTACGTTTGCACATATTCTACTTGTTGTCTTGTATACTTTAAATTATGAATTATTCGTTGTTGCTAAATCTTAGTATCATGGATTATTGAATGTTGTTAACACGGTGTTATACATTCTTGAATCTCCACTTTTAAGTTTGAAAAAGCACATGAATTTTCTGCTTCTACTGATTGTGTAGGCATAGTTTACATGAGGGACTGCTTTTATGAAACTTTAATTGTTCTAGTTCTCGTATTCATTTCACATTTTATCTGATCCAAATTACCTTTTACTATTGGCAGGTAGCAATAATTGCACCGAATGTCCCTGCTTTATATGAAGCTCATTTTGGAATTCCAATGTCGGGTGCTGTTTTAAACACTGTCAATATTCGTCTAAATGCATCCACCATTGCTTTCCTTTTGGGTCATTCAAAATCTGCAGTTGTCTTTGTGGACCAAGAGTTTTTCACTTTGGCAGAGGATGCTTTGAAAATTATGAAGGAGAAAAGCCAAGGCAATTTCAAGCATCCACTTTTGATTGTCATTGCAGATGAAAGCTGTGATCCCAAAGCACTCAGGTATGCTTTGGGAAAAGGAGCCATTGAGTATGAGAAGTTCTTAGAAAGTGGTGACCCTGAGTTTGCTTGGAAGCCTCCTCAGGATGAGTGGCAAAGTATTGCTTTGGGTTATACTTCTGGCACTACAGCCAGCCCTAAAGGCGTGGTATTACATCACCGAGGGGCATATCTCATGTCTTTGAGTAATCCTCTTATATGGGGGATGACTGAAGGAGCTGTATACTTGTGGACTCTACCCATGTTCCATTGTAATGGTTGGTGTTTTACTTGGTCACTAGCAGCTCTTTGTGGAACAAACATATGCCTCCGACAGGTAGTTAATAGGCAAAATAATTGCTTTACTTTTGCTTTAATATATGAAATGAATTAGCTTATCTGTTCCTTTATACATCCATTTCTGATCTTGGACTAGGCATAATTTTGCCAAAATTCCTAAGGTGTGTTCAGTATAATGAGGTCCTAATGTTCTATGGGGCTTTTTATTAATCGAATTTAGATTTTGTCATAATTTGGGATATGAGCTTGGAGATTGAGAGTTCTTACATCTTTTATACTTCAGTGTCAATGCTAGTGTTCTGCAATAAATCTCTTTATCAATGATCTAGCTTTTTTGCTCACTTGGATACTCATTTCCTTGTTGGTTCATTTTATATTTGCAGGTAACAGCAAAGGGAGTCTACTCAGCCATAGCAAAGTATGGTGTGACTCACTTCTGTGGTGCACCTGTGGTGCTGAATACCATAGTTAATGCCCCTCCTGAGGACACAATTTTGCCCCTCCCCCATGTTGTTCGCGTGATGACAGCTGGTGCTGCCCCACCCCCTGCTGTTCTCTCTGCAATGTCTCAAAAAGGCTTCCGTGTCACCCACACTTATGGTCTCTCAGAAACCTATGGACCTTCGACAGTGTGTGCATGGAAGCCTGAATGGGACTCACTGCCACCTGAAACACAAGCTCGCCTAAATTCACGTCAAGGTGTCCGATATATTGGTTTAGAGGGCCTTGATGTCATCAGTACCAAAACCGGTCAGCCCGTTCCTGCTGACGGAAAAACTATTGGAGAAATAGTAATGCGTGGTAATGTTGTGATGAAGGGCTACTTAAAGAACCCAAAAGTCAATGAGGAAACTTTTGCGAATGGATGGTTTCACTCTGGGGATCTTGGTGTGAAGCATTCTGATGGGTATATCGAAATAAAAGATAGGTCAAAGGACATCATCATATCTGGAGGTGAAAACATCAGTAGCGTGGAGGTAGAAAATAGTATGTACTTGCACGCTGCAATATTGGAGGCATCAGTGGTGGCAAGGGCAGATGAGCGCTGGGGAGAGTCCCCTTGTGCTTTTGTGACCTTGAAGCCGGGAGTGGATAAATCTGATGAACAGCGGTTAGCAGAGGACATAATGAAGTTCTGCAGGTCAAAGATGCCTGCTTACTGGGTTCCTAAATCAGTGGTATTCGGTCCATTGCCAAAGACTGCAACAGGGAAGATTCAGAAGCATGTGCTTAGAGCCAAGGCAAAGGAGTTGGGACCTGTCAAGTTGAGTAAGTTGTAAGCTGAAACATTTTATCGTTAGGGACTAAATAAAAACCACTGAATCGTTGGTATGTATCGTTTTCACTGATAGAGTGCTTGTATTTTGCACGTCTAGGATAAGCGTAGTAGCATTATTTTTATCAATAAAAAATTTCATCTCTAATTAGTCCTTAAATAACTGGGCGGTCACCATGTATACTGATGTACTTGGTTGAAGTCGTTTCACGAATATGCTGTGCTTATCTTGCTTACGCCCTCGATCCTCCAGTTACCAATATGCATGGCTAAGCCCATTCACTTAGAAGACCAGTAATTTTGTCATTGTCATCGGAGTTTTTGGGCTTAGTTCTGTGCGAGAGCTGGATCTCAGTAGCTTTCTTTGTAGTCTTTAATGGTCTACACAGAGGCCTATATTTTGAGCCCGAAAGGCTCACATCCAGACTTTCGACTAGCTTTAGAGTTTAGATTTCCTCTTCAGTATTCAGGAAAGCTCCATTTTCTTATCTCTGAACGACCATATAAATAAATAAATATTGTAGTGTGTATCTCGTAGAAGACAAGGAAACATTACGTCCTTAATAATTGCCAGATGTGGATCATAAGGTTAAGGATGGATCCAAGCAGACGTGGCATGTGAAGCTCAGATAACTCTTAGCAGAAACATTGAAAAATAATTCAGTTACAGTAAGCTGCGGCTAATGGAAACATCAAAATCAAGGGCTGTAAAGTTAGCATCAATCATTCGATTTGGGTCCTTGCACGGAAGGGAGACGGTTAAACTGTTGTTATGCCACTCTTAATGTTATAATTATCAACTTTGTGTACAAGTTTTGTTTCCCCAGGAATCCTCTTAACCCTTTTGTTTTCTTGTCAACAATTATCAGCTACAACTTCAAGTTGTTCTCGAGTGTTCCCACGTATGTCTTCCCTTTGTGCATACGCCCGTCAATATCATAAAAAAAAAAAAATCAAATTTATTTATTATTTTGATTTTCAAAGAAAAGTTTTGCATTAAAATTTGAATTTTTATTTAATAATATAGCACATCTCATGTTCACTTTCACGGAAATTAAGATAAAAGTTTTGATTTTAATGTATTTTATATTAAAATTTAAATTTTTTATAATATAGATAGTCAAAAAGTTTAATATAAAAATATGAAAAACATATAACATAAAAAAAAAATAAGACTATTAGGTGTTTTTAAAAAGAAAAATAAATAATAAAAAAAAACAGATGGAGAGAGTATCATTTTAATTTTGTTTATCTTTCTCCTTCATGATGCAATCTTATATCGTGTAACTTAATATGACAAATATCGTTCAGGATGGATACATAATTATACAAATATAATTATTAAACTAATATTTAAAAAAATAAAATAAAAGATATTTTCAAAAGTAGATAAGGAAAAGGGTTTTATGCACTGATTAGTTGGCAAATACAGAGAGCCATTTCTATACGTCACTTATTGTATTTATTTATTTTTTTAAAGATAAGAATGTTACATCCCATCCCCCATACTCCAAATTGAAGCACCATCATAAAGGAAGCTTTGTCATCCAAGATCAGAACCTTTGGTCTCATCTTGATCATCTCTTCCCTCCCACCAGGGCTAAAAAATTATTTGCTTGTCTGATAAATGTGGGGCCTTTATCAGGTTCAATGATCCAGTTACGGGACTTTGAGGCCCCAGTATCTGGCCACCATTTTCCAACCAATCTTGTTGTCTTTCTTTCCATGCAAATTGTTATACGTTTATGGTCAGTACCATCGGCTGTCATGTTGCTAAACCCCACACTGTATCGTTCATGAAAGTCATGCTTTTCAAATGTTTTGGATACTTGCATGTGGTAGCAAGAAAGACCAGCTGGGATTGGTTGGCCATGGCTACAAGCTAATGCCAAACCAACCTTTTGTTGAAAATGTACCAAATATTTGTATTTTTTTTAAAAAAAAATCATTTATAGGACTGAAGGTTTTTATTTGGCAGGTAAATCCTTAACACAACGTAGATTTGATTCCTTAATTCTGTTAATGGTTTAAAAAAATTATGAAATTTGATTATAAACCATCAATATCACACTAACAGCTTTGATCTTGACCAAACTATGTTGTCGAAAGAGTGTTTAAGGATGGACAGTAGGCTAAAATATCTTAAGTTATATATATTTAGTGTTATGGATTACTTGTCAAACCTTTAGATCTTTAAAAAAAAATGGGCGTTTAATCTATTTTTTACAGCTCAAATTACTCTTTGATTCTACTATTTTCATTTTAATTCAATCAAAAAATTATTTATGCTAATATCTTGGTACAAATTTAACTTGGTAGCCAAAGAGGTTGGTCAAGAGTCTATTAAGGAGGTATCAAACATTTATCTAATTTTTTTGAAAGGCACATCTAACATTTAGCTATATTGGCTGGAAAAAGACATAAAGCTGTATACCTAGATGGGTCTAGAACTCAAATAATACTTGTATTATTGAGTGGTTAGAAAATAAGATCCCTAATTATATCTATCTAGCAAATTTTATTTTATTTTTTCATTTTGAGACTTCTATTTATTCAATAGAGAAGTAAGATTTTGCTTATTCCTTAATTGAGCTGGTTGAAATTTTGCTGGGTAAGGTAGAGGCTTCTTGCAATATTCTTGACATTCTTGTCAGTTTTAACTACTCTCCTATCTGTTTGCACATGAGATGAAGAGAAACCAATATGAGAGTATTTGTCCTCCAATTTCCATTTAGCATTTGACCAAAATTAACTCAAATTTGATTAAAATACATTGAATCTTCTTATCAATACTAAAAATTCAAGAAATTCTACCACACAAAATTTATTTAAAATATTCGGGTAAAGTTTTTCAACTTTGGCTGGTTTTGACTTGGAATATTTTCTTGTAGAACCTGTCCCAATTTTCACATGTCCAAATGAAAAAAAAAGTATATAAATTCAATGTACATCTCCTCTGAATTAACTTTTCCCATATTTTTCCAGTTAATTCCTTGTAGATAAGTTATGTGTTCAGAAATTTATTCCACTCAGTAATATTGTCAAAATATTTTAATAATTTTATTAAAAAAATTAACAATATAATCTCTTATGAGAATAGAATTTATTCATGATATAAAATTTAATATAAATATTTTTTTAAAAAAAAATGGTTTCAAAAAGCTGAAATTGAATGGGTAAAGAACTTGCCAGATGCTGCTGCTCTAAACATGATGGTCCCACATGGAAGAAGCCCGACCAATGGAGAGCAAAACTTGTAAGGGAGCTTTCATCCTCGGACAGGAAAGGTGAGACAGGACACGAACCAAGTGACGAAAATGATGATCTGGTGGCAGAAGGAGTCTGTTTCTTTGGGATATCGTCAAGGTTTGTACAAAGTGTTGGTTAATATTCAACTGCACATTTCGTCCCCTTCCGCAAATTCCCCCATACCCATGGCCATGATTCAACAACCTGCAAGAAGAACCACATCCAAAGGGTATTTAAATACAAAAAAAGAACACAACAACCTCGGAACGACTTACTCTTGTTGCTGTGCATCAATTAATCTTTGTATAGTTAGCTTTTATGCTTGTCTTTTTTTGTTACATTTCCGCATGAGAGTTACACAAAAAGAATCTCAATAATGCTTTGCTTTGTGTCAGATTAATACCATCAATTTAATGCTCTACATTAGACAAATGATTTTTATGTTGTAGTTTCTTTTTTTGTCTAATAAATATTAAACCAATTGTAAGAATTTTCGGATCCGGGCGACATTCTTCCTCTTTAATGACTATTTTGATAAAAATTAGACACGACATATAAAATTTTGGTTTATTATATCTAATTTTGACTTATTATAGTATCTTTGGAAATTCCCTTTACTCGGTCAAAATTAATTTTATTAAATACCAAAAATTGATATCTATATAATCATAATTTCATCGAAAATACTCTCAAACTCCATCGATATCAAATTTAGAAGAGGAGTCAGCAAAAGCGTTGAAGGAAAAGTATGCACAAAAACGATGTCTACAATGACTTTTGGCATGTTGTCAATTTCATTAAAGATATATCATTTATTTATCATTAAAGAAACTCGTTTTAAACTTTTGAGCTTGGTGTATATTAACAAATCGAAAAAATTAAAAAGAAAAAAATTAATTTCATGCATAAAGTTATAATAATTTCTAGCTAGAAAGAATGAATCATGATAAAAGAATATGATGAGGTAGGGGCAGATTCTTAATTGGGTATTATGTCTATTCATAACTGGTAGGGAATTTGATAAAGAAAGAAGTATCCCATTTGGGGGATGGAACATTTCCTTAACTTTGATCATAGTCTAAATAAATAAAGAGAAAGCAATATTCTTCAAAATTTATGGGTCCCCCTATCCCCCTCCAACCAATCAGACAATATCTTAATGGCATTCTACAATTTCTAAATATTATCTCTATTATCTCATCTGCCAACAACCATATCCCAAAAGTATATGGTAAGTCCAAAAAGATAAAAAATCAGCTTGCAGACGAATAATTGAAAATACTTGAAGCCTTTTGGGAAAATAAAGTCTGAAACAATGAGACAAAAGCTCACGTTTTGTGTTAGGTAAATATATATATTTGTGCAAGTCACGAGATTTTCTTTTTTATGGTGTCATGTAGCACAGTAAATTCACGTGTTTGAGAAAATTTTTACACTATCCTCAGTGCCAGAAATAAACCCCTCTGCACCTAAAATAGACCAATCCAAAGACAACTGCATGCATTTTCTCTTTCAGACCCTTTGTGTATGAGTCAGACGTTTTGACTCCGTTTTTCTTAATTTCTGACTTCATTATTCTTACTAATTTCTATTATTTGTTTTCTAAATTACGTTCTTTTGACTTTAGAGCCCGATATAGTTATTTATTGTTACTACCTCTTCGTGTCAAGATTGGATAATCTATACCCTTACGACTTTCTGCATTGTGTATATTACACGTAATGCTGAAAAATGAAAATCAATCTAATTTTCTATGGTTAAAAATGTATATATTACGTTAATAAACAATAATGTGAAGAGTGGTTCTTTCTTCTTATGATATGAAGCAAAGAAAGAAAGAACTCAAAACAACAAATTTTGCTTTCATTCAAAGTGCGGTTAACGTGAGGTGAGAGAGATCAGAAAGATTCTCTGGTCCGTGACCACTCTTTTTTTAGTTTTTAACTATTAGCTCAACGTCAACCATGTAATACTTTCTTTTTCTGCTAGGTTATGGCAAATATAGTTATTTTTCTACCTCCCTTTTTCGCTTTTCTCACTCGTTTACTATAGCCTATGTTTAGCTCAGTTTCCCCCCCAAACTATGCTTCCGGCTGCGTGTCTTACTTACTTACTTTCTCATATATCCATTTCTCACTAATCAGTTGCTTTCTGTGTGTGTCTGTGTTTTGCTTTAGCTCTTCATTGACGTGGAAATCCAATCATCAACACTGTTAGCATCACCCGTTTCCCCCTATATATACACCTTCAAGCCTTCCCTTCAAGCTCACACACCAAGAAACTAAAGAGAACTTGAATGGGTTCCAAGATGTCTAGAGAATCTCTTAGACTTTTCCCGCTTCTCTTCACTCTCCTCTACCTGGTTTCTGTCATTTCTTTGGTGGAATCTCGTCCTCCTTTCGCTTGCGACCCGAGGAACGGGTTGACGAGGAGCTTGAGGTTCTGCAGGGTGAATTTGCCGTTGCATGTCAGGGTGAGGGACTTGCTGGGGAGGTTGACGTTGCAGGAGAAGATACGGCTGTTGGTGAACAATGCCGCCGCCGTGCCTAGGCTGGGGATTCAGGGCTACGAGTGGTGGTCCGAGGCCCTTCATGGGGTGTCCAATGTGGGTCCTGGGGCCAAGTTTGGTGGTGCCTTCCCTGGTGCCACCAGCTTCCCTCAAGTCATCACCACCGCTGCTTCCTTCAATGAATCCCTCTGGGAGCAAATCGGACGGGTAAACAACATTCATTTTAAAACGCATAATAATATACTTATTCTATCATTTTCACTCATTCTATCATAATTTTTTTTATAATAAAAAAAAAAGAATTTGAATCTTATTTTTTTTAAACAAAAAAATAATATATCAATTAATAAATTAAATATTCAAATACTCATTCTATCATAATCTTAATAACCGTGATATTATCATCTCAATATTATTCAACAATGCTTTAAATATAAATTCGTACCTCGTAAACATAAAGTCATATCTTAAATTTCTTGTTTTCATGATAGGTCATATTCTGTGAAGTTTTTTTCAACTTTTACACGTAATTAGATATTGGTTTCGTTATTTTTCTAAATAAGCACGGGCACATGTGACCTTGGGGACACTTAATTTTCCAATTAGGCTCTTTAGGCGTTAGCATTTGGCCCATACTCATAGTTTGTTTATTTTATTCACTAAAGCAAAAGGTTGCAAACAGTAGGGGGGTCACCCTCTATACTCCCAAATACTATACCCACTTTTCCCAAAGTTGTCAAAAGCCTTAGCCAATGGGCCACTTTGTTAGTTTAATTTAATTCATCTGCCCATAAATTTGGATTAAAAAAAGAAAGAAGTGTCCTTTGAGAGTTGGGTGAAGAATATATGCAAAAAGTTTGTTACAATCTCCAACCAATTTTCTAGTATTAATTATCTAGAAGAAATTATTCCAAACATGCATAACTCAAGTTACTAATTTACCTAAAAGTTTCTTAAAAAATAATTTTATATCTAATCTTAATAGTAATAACTATGATCAAGAGATATGACCAACCTTCAATCTTTGTCCTTGTCTGCTTTGTAATTATGGTGCTGATCCTCAAAATACATAATCGGGTTGTTGGATTTGGCCCCTTTTTTAATGATAAAATTCTTTACAACATTAGTGGAAAAAAAAAATTATTCTTCAACCGTTAAGCTTTCTTTTTCTCATTTGCTTTCGATTTTCCATATCTATTTTGGCTGGAACTTAACAAAGGAGGGGAAAGCTTTTCAAACCCAGCAATGGAAAGCATCAAAGAGAAAGTTGAGTGTCAAATTAGCCTTTTTGGATATGTAGATAAGTGGCCTTAGCTATAGCCAGGTAGAAAAAAACCTAACAGTGGGTGACCGATAGTGATGGTGGCGAGTTTTTGGAGACCAACTTGCAAAAGGAGTTAATTTTGCGTATACATCTTAGCTACGGCTACGTTAGCAACCCAAAATCTTCAAAGAGAAAAAAATATAAAAGAAAAGGAAAAAGGTTAGCCCGATACCTACTTTACTTTTGTTTTCATAATTAAAAGTTTTGAGCATTATAGGCAAAAGAAATTGATTTATGCATTTCCTATGTTATGTAATCCAATGAATAGATACTTATATTAAAGATTAAAAAAATGAGAATCCGAATCTTATTTGTTTAATGAAGACTATTGAATCAAGCCTTCGTATGTTCAATTAAATTATTATTAATTAATTAATTAATTAGGGTAATTTAATAATATTAGTTTGTACTATTTCATGGAACATGTACCGGTGGGGTGCAGGTGGTCTCGGATGAAGCTAGAGCAATGTACAATGGAGGGATGGCTGGTTTGACGTACTGGAGCCCCAATGTCAACATATTCCGTGACCCACGATGGGGCCGAGGCCAAGAGACTCCAGGTGAAGACCCCGTCTTAGCCGGTAAGTACGCCGCCCGCTACGTCCAGGGGCTCCAGAGTGCCGCTGGGAACCGGCTCAAAGTTGCAGCCTGCTGTAAGCATTACACCGCTTATGATCTTGATAATTGGAATGGTGTGGATCGATACCATTTCAATGCCAGGGTAAGAATACGTACCCAGTTGTTTTCTAGCTTTCTAGAGGAAATTAATAAACTACATATATGTTTGCTACAGAAGGAGCCGTTTTTAAATTTGTTTTTTTGGATTCTCTTTCGGCTGCTTTCATGGTATTCTGATCAGATTAATGTACTCAAACCTGGAAAAGTTTCAAAAGTTATGGCCAAAGCAAGCAACTTTCCTTTGTCCTTATCTCTGTAAGAAATTGAAAATGACTGCTGCTTAGCTTGCAAGGATCTTATAGCATTTACACCTAGCAATTTAGCAGGAGTTAGCCATGGAATCAGGACCATTCAATTAGCCTAAAAATTACAAATCGTTTTCCTTTGACCATCTTGGCAGCCACATGCCATCTTCAGCAGTTGAGAATAGCTACAGGACTGGGAAAATAGGGGGGCTTAGATTTCAAGCTAGAATTGAAAATGTAATATGATTGGGTGGTGGATGCAGGTTAGCAAGCAGGACCTGGCGGATACATACGATGTGCCATTCAAAGCATGTGTGGTGGAAGGGAAAGTTGCGAGTGTTATGTGCTCTTACAATCAAGTCAATGGGAAGCCCACTTGCGCAGACGCAGACCTACTCAAGGGTACCATCCGTGGTGAATGGCACCTTAACGGGTTTGTTTCGATTCCGTCACCTTAATTTTACACCTCAAACATATCAGTGTTTCTTCCTACGTTCTGTTTTCTGATTTTCTCTGATTGGGTTTTGTCTGTTCGATTAGGTATATTGTGTCAGATTGTGATTCGGTTGGGGTGATGTATGATACTCAACATTACACAGCTACCCCGGAAGAGTCTGCTGCAGCTACCATCAAAGCAGGTCTGCTCCAATTTCAACATTTGACCCTGCATCATTATCATTTGTATTTTTAGTATTTTGAAGCTTCATCATTTCTAGTGGATCTTATTGGTCGTGGGCTTTGTTTATTTTTCAGGCTTGGATTTGGATTGTGGGCCTTTTTTGGCAGTGCACACAGACCTGGCAGTAAGGAGGGGCTTGTTGGCTGAGATTGATGTTGACATGGCCCTGGCCAACACTATCACAGTCCAAATGAGGCTCGGCATGTTTGATGGAGAGCCATCAGCCCAACCATATGGGAACCTGGGCCCAAGAGATGTGTGCACTCCGGCTCACCAACAGCTTGCTCTCGAGGCTGCCAGACAAGGCATTGTTTTGCTGAAGAATTCTGGGCCTTCCCTGCCGTTGTCCACTTCACGTCATCGCACTGTTGCAGTTATTGGACCCAACTCTGATGTCACTGTGACAATGATAGGAAACTATGCAGGTAACAATCCATTGTCCTAGTAGTTCTTCAAGCACGATGACTAATTTGGTTGTTTCATGGTTCGAAATTTCGAAATGAAAGCAAAGTTCATGATCATTCTTTTTTTCCTTTGATGCAGGTGTCGCATGTGGTTACACCAGTCCCCTGAAAGGTATTTCAAGATACGCTAGAACCATTCACCAGGCAGGGTGCTCAGATGTTGCCTGCAACGCAAACAATCTGTTCGGAGCAGCGGAGGCTGCCGCCCGCCAGGCTGACGCAACTGTACTCGTAATGGGGCTTGACCAATCGATTGAAGCAGAATTCAGGGACAGGAAAGGGCTGCTCTTGCCTGGACGCCAGCAAGAGCTGGTTTCCAGAGTGGCTAGAGCCTCTAGAGGCCCTACTGTGTTGGTATTGATGTCAGGCGGTCCAATTGATGTGTCATTTGCTAAGAATGATCCTCGAGTGAGCGCCATTTTGTGGGCTGGTTATCCAGGCCAAGCTGGAGGTGCTGCAATTGCTGATGTTTTATTTGGAACAACTAATCCAGGTATTTTTTCAGGATTTCATCGCCAATTTTGATGCCAATTCTCTCAGTGTCCTATCTAATTTGATCACTTTTTTTATTTCACAGGAGGAAAGCTGCCAATGACATGGTATCCACAAGACTATGTAGCCAAAGTGCCAATGACAAACATGGGCATGAGGCCATCCGGAGGCTACCCTGGAAGAACGTACCGTTTCTACCAGGGTCCCGTGGTGTTTCCTTTTGGCCATGGCATGAGCTATACAACCTTCAAACACTCTTTAGCCCAAGCTCCAACCGAGCTCTCAGTCCCTCTCAACACCAATCTCTATGCCACCACAAACTCAACCTTGTCGAGCAATGCCGTCAGAGTGAAACATGCCAATTGCGACTCACTCTCATTACCCTTCCACATTGATGTGCAAAACACTGGCAACATGGATGGAACTCACACCTTGCTCGTTTTCTCCACACCTCCTGCCGGGAAATGGTCTCCGAACAAGCAACTGATAGGTTTCCATAGAGTTCATGTCCTCGCCGGGTCTCAGCAACGAGTCAAAATCAACATTCATGCCTGCAAACACTTCTCTATAGTTGATGAGTTCGGAATTCGAAGAATTCCCATGGGTGCACATAGTTTACACATTGGGGATCTCAAGCATTCTATTTCTCTCCAAGCAAATTTGAAGGGCATCAAGCCCTAGACTCTCAGGACTTAGGACATCACAGAAATCCATAGAAAAAGAAAAACTAAGTTAATTATTATTATTATTACAAGTATTCTTAGTAAATCCTCTCTCGAATCATATGAGAAAAATCTCAAAGATTGGAGAGAGTTCCACTTCAATCCCAAAGGGAAGAAAGTGGTCAAGAATTATAAGTTTCCTTATAGACTAGGAATTGAGTCCCCAATCTGTTTTGTTTTTACGGAAAAAGAAAACAAAATTGATTGAAAAATAGAATTGGTCAATGAATAATAGAACGAAACCAGCTCAAGCTTCTGCTGGTTTCAGGCCTTGGTATTGTATGCTTGTTTAAAAAGTTTGTACTTCAGCTCTTGTTCAAAGGAAATATTCAAGTATAATTGCATTGCCTAGCTCATTCCATCTGTCTTTCTCCACTGAAACAGCCCATCAAATTCCATGAAAGAACAGGTCAATATGTTTAAATTTCAAAATGGTTCCGAACCAATCTTTACTTAAAAAAAAAATAGTACTAATAATTCTTTGTCCGTCTCTTTCTCTTTGTTTTTCTTCAACTTTTACGAAAATTAAGATAAAATCTTTGAATAAATGGGATTTGTTTGTCTAGTTTTACTAGTTACAATCTGAAATGGAAACTCGAATTCTCATTACAAATTGACCTCAGATTTTGAATCGAAACATGCAAACGTGGTGTGCCAATGTCCTGGAAAACTTGTACGCAGTCTACTTTCTACACACAATGGTTAAACTGACCACTTGACTGGTCAGCAACGACTTCGGCAGCTCATCTAATTCTTCTAGATTCCTTCTACACAATTTTCTCCCTTTTTTTTTTATGTCAAAATTCTACATTGAATTTTCTCATGTAAATTTTTTATTTTTTAAATTTAAAAAAAGGAAAAAAATGGGAGATTAATTCTGACCCTTCTTAATGTAGAAAATTTAGTTGAAGATAATTTCTCTAGCCCATTTTTTTTAATTTTTGAGATGCAATTATTATTATTTCTTTAATAGTTGAAAATGTTAATTTAACATAGATCGATAAAAGAATTATCAATCAAATTAAAATACTAGTATATTAGTAGTATTTAATTTTTTTAATGAAGTTCAGTTTAAATTATATTAAGACGATCTTAAAAATTGATGTTTTGAATACTCGATAAAAACACGTTATACTTGAAATATATGCGAAATTAGTTTTTACTTTTATATTAAAATAACTTTTTTTAAAATTTTAATTGAGAGTGATAAATTGATCAAGAGTTAATTTGGTGTTAATAGATATATGATATTAAATATAGTTTAAACTCTGAGTTTTATAATATTTATAATAACGTCTTTTGAAAAAAATACCATAGCTAGCTGTCTTGATATCCTATTAATTTTGGTGTTTGTAGTTAATGCCCGTTGTCTTAAGCATTTATTACTATATTAATGAGAGTAAAAAAATAAAAAAAATATTTTTTCTATTAAATAAATTAGATGCCGTTTCTCCTTATAGATTTTAATCTGTCAAAATTAGGAACTATGGTTGCAAATTAGTACAAATTGAACCAATAAATTATCCATTTTTAAAATTAATTTATTCTTTGGCCCAAAAATTTAAATATTTAATCTCCATTACATTAAAATCAACTTTTTTTTCTTATTTTTTAAATATAAAAAAGAAACAATTGCCAGCGAAAAAAAACATTGAAACCCCATTGCGAATAAAAAATATTATGCAAAAATAATTAAAAAAAAAAAGAAATACACAATTGCACACGTGTAAAAGCAAGAGCAAGGTGTCGGTACAGGAGGGAATTCTACACGTGAGAAATTGCACGGCGTGAGTTTCCCATGGACCAGCCTGACATTGATATCTTAACGGCATAAACCGTAACTCTTACAAATTTCATTTAATTAAGATAAAAAAGTAAAAAAAAAAGAAGAAGAAGATCTAATTATTAGATTCCTAAAATATATTTTTCTTTTTTGGGTGTCTCAAAATGACTTTTTTTTTCATTTTTACGCACTTAATATTCTTATTTTTTACATTACAAATTTATTTTTCATATTTTTCTATTTTTAGAACTTTCTTAAAAATTTTAAACAAATATTTAGGGTCTTAAAAAATTATAATTTAATATTTACAAAAAAATAACGTGGAATCCAATCCTACCCTTCAACCACCTTCTTTCTGAATTAGAGGTTTTTATTGGTTTAGGTCTTTATTGTTTTCCTGTTTCAACTTGTTTTACTTTCCGTCTTTCATTTTGTCTAACCTAATATACATATATATATATATATATATAAATATATATAAATATATAGATAGATAGGTATACACTTGCTTCCTACAACATATTCTTATCTCACCCTCTCACTCAACGCATCCCTTCTCTCTCTCTCTTTCTCTCTTTTCTTTTTCTCTCTTCTATCCCTTCCCGTTCTCTCTTGCATCTCTTCCTTTTCCCTTGTGCAAGGTAATGCCAAGATCCCCTCCCTCCTTCTTCCTCCTTCTTTTATCTCACATATTCATATACAAACCCTATCTCTTTTCTATCTTTTTAAATTTAATTTTTATGCACGTACATACGCACATACACGTGAATATGAATTTATGAATTTTTTTTAAAAGTTTATTGGGTTTTTTTGACTGGGTTTTGATCATGTTAATAATCATGATTAATGCTGTTTGAGTGATTTAACAGGGGAGAACTTAGAAGAAAAATGGCAGACTGCAAACATGGTGAAGACTTCTATGCCTCCCAAGACCATGAAGTAAGTTGTTTATTTCTTCTTATTTTCTTGGCATTTCACTTGGAAAAAAATTAAACCATTTTTGTTTAATAATGAGTAAATAACGAAAGAATTATATGATAATCCCTCCACAATGATTGACGACTTCTTTCTCTCACAAGTCAAATGTGACATTTCTTGATGAGTAGAACCGACGGTCCTGATTGTTGATTATCGAGTCCACGTGTCAGACCCACATGCAAGTGGGTGCATCATAGTCCTTTTTGAACTCTAACGAACTACCTTTTTTATTATTAGTAATATAATTAAAAATCATTATTAGGGTGCCAGATTTTTCTGATTTTTTTTGGTAATTATTATCTGATTAAATTCCCAAAATGGGCCTGGAGAATCAGCTGATATTTTTTCGGGTTTTGGCCCATTTGATGCGTGATTTATGGTGGTGGTAAAAGTGATCCCACGTGCTCCTCTCTAGGATAGTAGACACGTGGGGTCCGTAATCAAACGGCTATTATGATGACATGACAGGATGTATATGTTGAGATGTGGGGTTGCAAGTACCTTTCTGTATTTCTGAAACATTCTTTTGAAATGTCGGCAGTGTTGTATTGTACGTACAACAGTACTATACAGTATCTGGACCCCAACTAGACGTTAAGCTCTCAACCAATTCACGTGGGATTCTATTTTTCTGTTTTTACGTGTACTTTTCTATTTTGTCTTTTATCTACTCTTGTCTCCGTATATTTCTCCTTTAAATTTGGTCCCATAAACAATATGTTCATGGTTTATCTATTATGTTCAATTCTTTAATGGAAACTTAATCTCGGACAGATTGACATTTTATTGTCACATGATATATTAAATTAAAATGATTGATAAGTTGACCTCGATTACGTCAACTTATCATGATATATAATCATGTCAATTTATCATATCATATGTTTCGTAATAGTAGTTGATATTGAAACTGACATCAAACTTTGATTTCACTAATCTCATCAAATTAATGTGTTAAGCAGGGAACAACCACGGCCAAGAAATACGGAGGACTGGTGCCGAAGAAGAAGCCCTTAATCTCAAAGGTAAAAATAAAATTTTTTTTTGAAATATTTAGGATTAAGACAGAAATTCAATTATGAATTTGATGTGATGAGCTAACAAAAAATTTATGTAAAATTGGATGAATGTAGGACCATGAACGTGCCTTCTTTGATTCAGCAGACTGGGCATTATGTAAGGTATTTGTCACCATTAAAGAAAAGCAAAATTAGATTCTTGTCGAGGAAATTGATGAATTTGTCCAACATTTTATGACCCAAAATTTACAGTTGGAGTCCACTTTTTTTTTTTTTTGTCGGTCGTAGGGGGTCCCAAGCTGAACTGGAAACCAGAGGCTTAATCTGGCCCCAACAGGAAATAATTATTGCAAGTGTTTTTTTGAAAGTTACACCAGATTCTTTTGTTCTTGTTTGAATTGAACAGCAAGGTGCAGGAGTTAATCAGAAATCGACTGTGGCAATAGAGACTTTGAGACCAAAACTGCAGGTATGTAATTGTAAAAGTAATCAATCGTGTATATATATATATATATATATATGTATGTATGTATATATATGCGCGTGTTAAAATGATAATGTTTATCGATTTTTATGAAGAGAACGCCACACCAACAGCTACCCCCGAGAAGACCTGCTTGTACATCTGGTCGAGAGAATGTTGTGAGTCTACGGAATTCTCTTAAAATTGTTTTTTTTTTTTTGAATTTTAGTTATGCAATTGTTATATTTTGATAAAATAATTATATAAATTATCTAATTAAAATTATAATATAATATATTATTATCTCAAATGATTAATTTCTATTGATTTTATTGCAGGGCCAATAGATTCCATCAGGTGGTCGGAGGAGGAAGTGGGAATTGATCAATGTTTATAACATTCTTATGGTGATGGAAATTGAATTTACATTGCAATGGGCGCTTGAACTAGTTTATCTTTTTAATAAAAAGGGAGAGAGTCTTCATTGTTGGAGAAAAGAGACATGCTATGTTCTGTAATTAGTTCAACAATGGTTGGGAATTCGATTAATTTGGTTAATTTAGTTTAGAGTTTTTTTCTTTAATTTTGTTTCATTAGCTTGAGGTACAAAGGGTTCATTTCGTTAAAAAATATTTACAATTAAATTAACCGAATTTTGTTTCAAAATTAGTTTGATCGATCCAAAATCAAGTATTAATTGATTAACCGGATTAGATAACGGAAATATTTGAACTCAAACCTAATTTTTTTAATTTTATTTTTTTCTATGTTAATTACAAATTAAACAAAATTAAACTATGAAATCAAAATAATATTAAGATATATTAATCCAAAAAGGATACTAAAAGTATATGCTTATATTCTTAAATTTGTTAATTGTGTTAATTAAAAAAATCAAAATCAAAATCGATCGAATTAATTGATTTAATTATGCTCACTTTTGAATTAATTGAACTATTTTAATCAAATTTGTTTAATTTAATTCTATTATTTCGGTTTTGATTGAAAATTCCTTAGCTCTATCACGAGTGATTGGTGAGTATTGTAGCAGATTTTTAGAAGGACGGAGTGAAGGAGACAGTGAGAAACTTCTACGATCTTTAATTCGTTTTTCTTTGGTCCAATCAGAAATTTCTATGATCCTTAAGCCTTGTTGTGAGGATAGGCTTGCTTGTGGTCAGTTTGCCCGATTGGGATCTTCTCATTTAAATGTACATGTCAAGATCCCCGACAAAAGCTCTAAGGTCCCATTAACTTAACCATGGTTGTTTTTTTGTTTGGTTGTCTTTGGTTTAGGATAATGAAGGAAGAAAAATGCAATAAAATCAAAACCCAATCCAATAAAAAGCGACCAAAATAAAAAAATAATTACACTTAATGGGCTTGGTAATGACATTAATGGGTTGCAATTGTTCAACTTCATGGGCCTTTATATGGGCTAGATCCATAATGGATATAGCAAATCAAGGCATGTAGCTTAGCTTTCAATATTTCAAAATAACGAGACCAATTGCCTAATGGATCTAAGAATTTTTTCATCTATGAGCCTCTTTGTTTAATAGATGCCTCTTTACCTTGTCTCTTTTATTTTGAGTGAAAAAAAAAAAAAATTGAAGCTATCAAAGGAAAATTCCCTATCCCCACTCCAATTTTAGTATTTCACAAATCTAAATTTGTAAGGATAGTGTGATAATATAGGAAATATATATAGTTAAGTTAGGAACTTTTGCATAGGGTATAAGTGATTATATTGAAAATAATTACCAAATTTATTGGAAGAAATAATGAGTACAAATTTATTGATAATCTTTTACTTCTTTTTGTATACTTATATCTTTCTTCCTTTCTTATACAGCATATTACAGGAAATGTCTTTTCGTTGGAAGGGAAACTCATCATAAACCAAATGCCTAATCATATTCTCCATTATCACTTAAGGAAAACACTATTAGCTCTAACACCTTCATTTTAACCCTTTCGAAAATATATCTTTTATAATTACTATATTAGAATTAACTAATTACAATCACGAAATGAGTAAATTTCATTAAAATATTATGTGAGCATTAAGTGATAGATTTCGTGCATAATTTTTTTATTGTGATTGGATAATTGTAAGCTTGCAATAAAAAATTTACAGATAAAAGATTTTGGATATTTTAATCCCATCACACATCTATCTAATAATAATTTATTAATTTAATGGTAATATCTCATTTATGAATCAATGGCTTAGAACTCCACTTTTAAGTTTATCTAATAACCATATGTGATGTAAAGAAATTCTAACTACTGGAATAAAAGTAGCATTAATGTAAACGCCGTGTCGTTTCCTAAGCTCTTTTCATATAGTGAGCAACATTCCTTCCAAAGGCGAAGAGCTGGCCTGGGTTTGGTCACTGGTTAATTGCAGAGGGGACATGAGAAGGCTTTCCTCTTTGGCTTCTAGGTCAACAACTTCCCTCAGAAACCTCACAGAAGATCCCAAAAATACAACAATTTCTTGTCAGAGCCAATTCAAAACCAACACTCCAGTTCCTCCTCCTCCTCCTCCTCCTCCTCCTTCAAGAGGTAACTCTGCGATCAATCATCATTACATTTCTCAAATTCTTTCGAGAAACGATTGGTTTTTACTGCTAAACCACGAGTTAAAAGCCAAGAGGGTGGTTTTAAACCCTCAGTTTGTAGTGAGTCTCTTGCAAAATCAGGAAAACCCACTATACCCTTTGAGATTTTATATATGGGTTTCGAATATTGACCCCTTATTCGCTAAGAATCAATCGGTTAAGGGTGTTTTAGCTACTGCCCTTTATCGAAAAGGGCCGGTTTTGTTATCTGTTGAATTGGTTAAAGATATTAGGAATTCGGGTCTTGTTGTAACTGAAGATTTGCTTGGCATTTTGATCGGTAGTTGGGGAAGATTAGGATTAGCTAAGTATTGTGCTGAGATATTTGGGCAGATTTCATTTTTGGGTATTAGTCCTAGCACAAGATTGTATAATGCCGTGATTGATGCATTAATAAAATCCAATTCACTTGATTTAGCTTATTTGAAATTCCAACAAATGTCAGCTGATAACTGTAAACCAGATAGGTTCACATACAATATTCTCATTCATGGCGTTTGCAGAACTGGTGTCGTCGATGAGGCACTTCGTCTAGTCAAGCAGATGGAAGGGTTGGGATATTTGCCGAATGTGTATACCTATACGATCTTAATTGATGGGTTTTGTAATGCTAGGAGGGTGGATGAAGCATTTAGACTTGTGGAGATGATGAAAAAGAGGAATGTGATTCCTAATGAAGCCACTGTGAGATCATTAATTCATGGGGTGTTTCGTTGCATAGCTCCCTGTAAGGCATTTGAGTTGTTGATAATGTTTTTGGAGAAGGAGCCTATGATGCAGAAATTAGCTTGCGATACTCTACTGTATTGTCTTTCGAATAACTCTATGGCAAGAGAAGCAGCATTGTTTATGAAGAAACTTGCAGGGAGAGGCTATTTGCCTGATAATTCAACATTTAATCTTACACTGACATGTTTGATAAGGGGATTGGATCTTGATGAAACATGTCTGATTTTGGATACTTTTATTGAGCTAGGTTTGAAACTAGGGTTTAATACTTATCTTGCACTCATACAAGCTTTGTATAATATAGGAAAATTTGTTGAGGGTGATCGGTATTTGGACCAGATGACTAAGGATGGGTTGTTATCAAATGTTTTCTCATATAACATGGTGGTTGATAGCTTCTGCAAAGCCAGTATGATGGACAGGGCAAGAAAGTCTTTCAAAGAGATGTGCCTTAGAGGTATAGCTCCTACTCTTGTTACTTTCAATACCATTATTGCTGGGCATTGCAAGATTGGGGAGGTACACAAGGCTAAGGAATTTCTGGTAATGCTTTTAGAATCTGGTTTTGATCCAGATATCTTCACATTTAGTTCACTAATTGATGGGCTTTGCCGAGCACACAGGATTGAGGATGCTTTTGATTGTTTTTCTGAAATGTGTCAGTGGGATGTCACTCCAAATGATGTTACATATAATATATTGATTCGATCCTTGTGTGTAATCGGTGATGTTGCTAGAGCAATGAAACTTTTAAGAAAAATGCAAGCCACTGGAATAAGTGCTGATATTTTCTCTTTCAATGCTCTCATTCAAAGTTTTTGTAGAATGAAGAAGATTGAGAAGGCAGAAAAGCTTTTTAACTCCCTGTTGAGGTTGGGCTTGGATCCTGACAACTATACCTATGGTGCTTTTATTAAGGCATTGTGTGAATCAGAAAGATTTGATGAAGTGATACGAATGTTAAACTCCATGGAAGCCAAAGGTTGTATTCCTGATTCTTATACATGCAATTTAGTTTTGGAGTCTCTTGTTCAGAAGGGTTGCTTGGAAGAGGCTCGGGATATTGCAAAAAGATGCAATCAGAGGGGTACTAAATTGAAAGCGATTCCTGGACTGTAGGATGTTATTTTTACTGGTTCATGTATTTAAATGGCTTTGTTGCGATTTAAGCTGTGGACCATTGCAGTCAGAAAGCATTTAACCTTGCTTTTCCATACTACCTTTACAGAATTGTTATCTGCAGAATGTAGCAGAACATCAGGTGGTCTGTCCGTTCATTTATGTCATAATCTCTGCCGGAAAAGTTGCACTTATTACCTGCTGGGATATGCAGGTTCGATTGTGGGCTTGGATCACCAAATACAAGTTGTTAAGCAATTAACTTCAGACAGGGCACTCTATGCACCCAATTTATCTTCTCAGATTCATAAAGGCTATACTGTTATAGGAGAAAATGACAATTTGCCACATATTAACGGATAATCTGGCCCTATGTGAAGAAGAATGGCATAATAGGACAACGGATCTTATCATCAGCAGATTTGTGAGGCTCTGTTAAGTGACGCTGGCTTGAGGTCTGGTAGCATCCGGCAGCTGTGTTTTTCCTAGAATTAACATGGTTATACTTCTCAGTTCTAGCTGCAATTATGTGCGTCATTTTATTCTTTCTAGGGTTATATCCATTATTTTATGACCAGTACTGTAATAAATGCAATCTGAGGACGTTACACAAAAGAAAGTTGGTTCATTCAAAGAAAAGAAATATAGCCAACTGGAAAGATTTATTGTTTGTTATGATTCCCCATGCATAATGTTTCCAAATAAGGCTTCCACTTGAAAGCTATAATTTCCTTTACAGGGTAGTATGTTTTATCGGGTCTATTTCAAGCCCACTTCGGTTTGATTGCCATTCTGCATAGCATCCCTCCGCCAGACCGCTGCTAAGCCTAACTGGCTGTAGAGACCTGAGCCTTTGCCAATGCTATGATGGTTCTCCGAAGGTTTCAAATTTTTTCAGAAAATGAGATTGCTTATGCCTTTAACTAATTACTATCAATTTTGCTCGATGACATAAAGAAACCTTGACTTGCACTAAAAGTTTCATAATGATAATTGTTAGGTTTGATATATGTCACTTGTAAAAGAAAGTCCTCAGCTAGTTAAAGTTGGTGACTTGCACTCCATCTGCTCCATTCCTACGAGTCTTTGGCATTCCTCCAAAGTTTACCCCCAAACAATGGAAAACAAACAAATAGGTGCCCTTTTTCCAATCAATTTTACCAAACTCTATTCATTGCTTGTGTGTAAAAGAAAATTAAATTTGTCATGGTTTCCGGGCCACGGCCAACAGAACTAGAGTACACAAATGAGACTTTCAGAATGTTCATGTACTGCACTATTTCAACAGCAGCGGCCTTATGTTACGTGCTGATGCTGAAAATTTACATTGGACAGATTATATAATTAGTTTCAATTCATCTGTCCTTTTTCATTAGTTCAAACAGTCTGTAAGCTTCTAAAATGGCAATCTCATTTACATTCAAATTTTTGGTTTTAGCCATGGCTGTGGTTTGCATGTCCGTATTCTGCTTCTGCTTAGGTATCTGACAAAAAAGAAACATGAACTTTTCTCCTAGCTATTCATTCATTATCGAAGCGTGTTAATCCTTTGCTTCAATCCTCGACAGGGAAGGCAGATGAAGGTTTGCCTCAAACGGGTGGTGTAGCTGCTGATCCAGCTCAAATTGTCGCGAAAGCATTGTTATGTTTCAATGATAAATATGTAAGGTTTCTGGACCTGTACATTCAATCAACAGCCATGAGAAGGATTCATGGTTTAACAGGCTTCACATATGTCACTAGATAATCTGATCATACCCTTTTCCCACTGATTTTTTTTTGTTTTTGTTTTGAGCGTTTATCATCAATGTCTATGCCTATTAGTAAGATCTAAGAATAGCTTCTTAGGTCTCAGTAATGATATCTTAAAGATTTAATTGAAAAATGTTTTACTTGTTTATATTCGAATCAGATTTACAGCAGCTGTGAAGAATCGTGCAGATTGACTGCAAGGGGAAACCTAGGTGTTCCTCCTGACTACATTGATGAATATTGCAGTGGACCTTGCCTGTCAGAGACACACCTAGTGCTCAACTGTATAGAGAACATCATGACAAACTTCCTGTTCTACAACAAGGCCACGATTCAGGATATTAGAGACACAATCCTGGCAGGATGTGGCTATGGTCCTGAAAGAGGTAACTTCCAATCAAGTTTTGTTGAAACATAGTTCCTTTTGGTTTTCCATCAAATAATCATAATCTGTTTGTCTGTGTTTATGTAGGTAATTTCAATGTGGAAGAGCACATTGAAGCTGAGGAAAGCAGTGCAAGCAAGGCAGCCACTCAGATTTTGATTGGCATAGGGTTGACGATTATTGGCCGCACTCTATTACTTTGAGTTGCTCTGTTTCAGAATTAGGCAATAAGGCATGACTGTAGTTTGCTGAGCATCATATTAGATTTATACAGCTTTGTTTGATTGTAAGATATATATCTATATAACTTTGTTTACTGTTTTCACCCTGAAAGTTTTATGATTCTGTACTTCTTCATATCTCCTATACTAAGAATTGGAAAAAGAAAAAAAAATGCAACATTTAGCCATTGTAACCAAACATAGCCAACAGGAATCTTGAAACAGAGCCCTGGTGAGAACCATGCAGCAGTGAACCTGGAATTTATGATGACCAAACCTGAAAACCAGTAATGATTCTGAAATGAAGAAGAAATTTTGACAAAATTTATTACATAAATTCAGCCTCAGCAGCAGGCAAAAGCGCCCAAAGCCTCGTGGTCCTGACAAGCACTACTCTAAAACTACCTTTCCCACCAAAATGAGCCAAAACATTCCTCTATTTTCCCGTGCTAGTCCACTTCTCTTTACCCCTTAATGGCATCTTTCAAGAACACGATCTCCACTTTGGTTCAACTTTCAAGAAACGCCTCATCATGCCTTCTCTCTCGATCAAGAACCCACATTTTCTACATTTCCTTGCTTCTTCTTTCGGTCTTCTTCGTTTCAACATCACTCACCGAGCGTTCACCAACCGCATTAGCCTCAGCAATGGCCGCCCGCCTTCGCCTTGCGGCGAACTACTTTTCTTCCTTCTCCTCTGTTTCTTCTTCCAACACTTGTCTCGTCTCTGACCTGCGAAGTAACTGTACTCTTTCTTCGGTTACCACGGTCGAAAGAACTCCTGGGAATTCAGTAAAAGATGGAAGATATGTGATAAAAGACCTTGGTTCTTGTGATATCTTCAATGGTAATTGGGTGTTGGATGATTCTGACCCTGTTTACCTACCGGGGTCTTGTCCCTATATTGATGATTCTTTTAACTGCTACAAGAATGGCCGGGTAGATTTCAGTTACGTTAGATATCGGTGGAAGCCTTTTGATTGTCAAATCCCAAGGTCTAAAACGAAGACCTCTATCCAAGATTTGTACATAAAACTTACTTGATCGCTTCATTTCTTTGTTCCTAGTCTCTGTAATGCGTTTGTTCTTGTTGGTCGTTGAAATTGTGTAGGTTTGATGGAAGGAAAATGTTGAAAATGTTGAGAGGCAAGAGACTGGTTTTTGTGGGAGATTCTCTGAATAGGAACATGTGGGAGTCACTGGTCTGTGCATTGAGAGAATCATCGAAAGACAAGAGACGAATCATTGAAGTTTTCAGGACTCAAGGCTTATATTCTTTCAGATTCAAAGTGAGTAGAATCATCAATCTTTGCAATTGTGACAGATGGAAAACTCCTTTTGCTGTCAATTTCTTTGTCTTGACTTTTTTTGCTGGGTATTACGGAATTTGCTATCCTGTTTGTTGAAATGATGTAGGATTACAAGTGCTCAATAGACTTCTTCAAATCACCGTTCCTTGTCCAAGAATGGAAAATCTCTGATAAAATTGGGACCCGAAGAGAGACACTGAGACTTGACATGATTCAGGGTTCCAAGTACAGTGATGCTGATATAATTGTCTTCAACACTGGTCATTGGTGGACTCACCAGAAAACTAACAAAGGGTAAAATCTGCTGCCATTTTTCTTCGTTCATAGCTTGGTTTCTGATAGGCATTAGTGTTGATTGCAGCAAAAATTACTTCCAGGAAGACAGCCATGTCTACAACAGATTGGAAGTAAAAGAAGCATTTGCAAAGGCATTGAGGACATGGGCAAAATGGGTTGATGCTAACATTGATAGGAACCGCACCAGGGTCTTCTTCGGGGGATACTCAGCTTCTCACTTCAGGTAAAAAAGGAAAACAAAATGGTTTTCTGCAATGCGATTTCTCACCCCTAAAGAGAATACTAATTGGCATATATCAGGAAAGGGCAGTGGGATGCTGGTGGGCACTGTGACGGTGAAACAGAACCTATAGCAAACGAGGCAAGCCTTGCACCATATCCATGGATGATGAACATCCTGGAATCCGTAATAGCAGGAATGAAAACACCAGTGTTTTATCTCAACATCACCAAGATGACAGCCTACAGAAAAGATGGGCATCCTTCGGTTTATCGAACAGCAGAGATCCCGAGGAACCCCAGCATGTTCCAAGATTGCAGCCACTGGTGCCTCCCAGGTGTTCCAGATTCCTGGAATGAGCTTCTCTATGCCACCCTGCTGATATCAGGCCATTGACTTACCACATAAACACTAAGCCTACCTCATTGATGAAGTTCTAGTTGATTGTCATTTTGGGTCTCAAAGTGTAATTCAGTGTTGCTATACTCATTTTGGAATTGATTAGAACATTTTCAAGTGAATGAATGCTATGATTTTGTACCAAATTTTACCATTTAGTTGTGTTAGAATATCAACAGAAAAGGTGAGGGAAAAGAAAATGAAGGATATAAAGAAGGAATTTATATTATTATTGTTTGAATTTTTCATGATAAAATTAAAAATTTTCAAAAATTCACATTGAATTATACTAAATAAAATACACTTGTTAAATAATTCAAAATTATCAGTATTTTATTTGTCTTTAAATGTTTGTCACTCTTTGACTTTCAGGAAAATTAAAATAAAAATTTTAACTTTCATATATTTTGTACTGAAGTGTAAAATTTTTTATAATATAAATCTTCAATAATTTTTAATACGAAAAAAATAAAAATATAGTGAAAAATATTTATAATATATATATAAATATAAAGAGAATTATGTCCCTAAAAAATATTTTATTTTGAAATATCTACAAATAGGGGGAGTCCTCTTTTTTCCATTAAAAAACCATCAATTTACCTAAAATAAAGTTTTAAAAAACTTTCTAGAAAATTGTTAAATAGAGTAAAAAAAATACAAAGAAAATGCCGTGTCATAAAATGATTGGCAGTTACAGAGAAATCTCTAGTCTTAACGTCCGTATAAATTAAAAGCTCCTCCACCATGTCGACATAAAATAAAAAAGGAATTCCCATCATTTTTCTAAAACGACAGTGTTTTCTACTTTCTCGCTTCCTTTGCTCGCACGTTCAAGTTATCGATCTTCCATCTGACTCTGAAGAACACGGCGATTCATCGGCGAACCAGAATAAGGAAAAGTAAAACTAAAACTTTGAAAAAGAAAACCACATAGAGGAACGAGATGAAGATCGACGTGAATGCGATGGCTCGTAGAGTCGAAGTCGATAATCGAATTCCTCTCCGTTATTATTATCGAATCGCCGATAATCTCCTCAAACAGGTTCTCCGTCGAATTCTCTTTCTAATCTTACTCTTTTCTTAATGATTGCGAATTTATGATCGTTTAATGTTTAATTTTAGCTTAATTTAAGATTTAATCGTGCATTTTTTTTTAAGTTTTAATTGGTACTGAATTCATAGTTTTAATGCTTAGATAAGCTCGGTTATCCTAATTAATATCTTAATATTTGAAAAATCCGAGTAATTTTAAGTGCTTATTGGCTTAGTTTGTAACATTGCCTTGCGAATTCTCAGTGTGTTGCTTTGGCTCGAAGTTTTAGGTAATATTTACAGGTTCTTTTATGTAATTTTAAATTTTCAGGCGAGCATTTACCGAGATGAAAAGAATATAGTAGATTTGTACATAATACTACTTAGATATTCAAGGTGAGGGAAGCTTAGTGCTGATTGAATTCGTTATACTAAATTAATTTGCATAAGCTTATTTGTGAATTTATATTTTGGGTCAGTTTGGTGTCGGAAACAATACCATTCCATCGAGATTACCAGGTTTTGCATCTGAAAGAAAAGGCGGGGTATAGGAAGGTGAGGTTTAGTTGTTGTTCTGGTTCCTCTATGTTGTGAGTCCACTCATATGGTATTTGGTGATATTTTGGTTGTAATGTTTCTTATTGCAGAGACTTTTAGCTGTACTCGATGAGCTTGAATCCTTGAAACCTGAGGTTCACCAGAGAGTTGAAGAACTAAATAAAGCTCATGCAGGGGCTCGATTTCTTGAACTTCATGGTCATGAAACAACTTCCCATGGCTGGGAGAAGATGTCACCTTTGGAATGGTCCCCTGTCAATGAAGGGTCTAATATGAGCTTGGATATTAAGCAGGTACTGAGCTGTTTATGATTGGTGGAGGCAACATGATGTGATTATGTTATTTTTGTTTGCTCCTTCCCCTGTTTCTTTATGTATGGTTGTCAATAAGTTTTCTTATTTTGCTTGCTGTTTTGACTAAAGTGTGCAATATTATAACTCTGTTTTCAATTTTTTTGACTGCAGCCTGCCAACATGGCAGTTCAATCTTCATGGAAGTATAACAATGATCGTAATCTAATTGACAAGCAATGCCAGAAGTTGTGAGTGTTATTCATTTTTTGTTTTATTAATGAAACATTTATGATTCAAATCATGAAACCCCTAAGTAGCATCTTTGCAATATGGAACCAGCAGTTATATGAATGGGATTCATTAAAAATCAAAATATGTATTTTTAGCTGGTACCGGAAGGAAAGGGATTAATTGTTATCAAAAGCATGGCCATCGTAAAATCCATGTGTGACACTTCCATTTTACAGCATTTCTTGATTTGTTTAGGCCTTTGCCCAATGTCATAATTGTTTGTGTTTGTCTATCTAGCCCTCACCATGAAGTTTGAAAGTTGTATAAAAAATAAGAATTATTTGAAAACTTTTTCTCTCTTTTTGACATGCACTAATCATTCCTGGATATGTTCAGGTCTCTTAATATACCTTTTCCAAATAAAGAAACTTTGTCTAGACACTCATTTCTAGGCCCTGATGGTCTTCGAGGCCAGTGGCTGGGACCAAGGGCAGAGATAAAGGTAAACCTCTCTATGTTATATTTCCCTCTGTTTCTTCTTTCCCTATTCATTATATAATCTCTTTTTGCATGCTGAACTGCAAGCCTGCATCAAATAATTGATTCTGCTGTGTAATACAGGTTCAATATCCTAGCAGTATGGACTTGGTACCTGCTGAAAAGTCTGGGTAGGACTTCCAAAAAGTCTAATCATTCTTCTTTAAATTGACATGCATATTAAGCGATAGAATATGTGCTCAGACTTCTAATTTCTGTTGCTACAATGCGACTGCTTTGACATTTGTCTTTATGGTGTCACAATTTGTTATAGCCCCAATCAGGCTGGACAATATGGTGCTTTGGCTGTAAAAGATGGTGATCCAGGAGGGGTTGGTTCTGCTATGGAGTCAGTGCTATCCTTAGATGATGGTCGATGGTTACATCCTGCTGAAGAGTCATGTCACCCTTTGATTAGTGAAGCTAGGGAGGATCCTTTCCAGTTTGTTGGTATCAGACAACCTTCTCCTCCTCCTGTTCTTGCTCAAGTGCAGCAGGACTTCATTCCAATTCCTCCTTCAAAAGTTGCTGATCCAAGACCTGGTCCAGCTAAGCCTTCTCAAGATGGAATGCCCAACTCTAATTCGTATCAACATTTACATGTTGTATGTCTCCTGAATCAATTCTTGTTGCTTTAGCCTTCTACATTGATTTATATTCAAATTGTTGGCCAATTCTGCAGCCAGTACATATGATGGAGGATTTCTTACGATTGGCTCGGGCAAATACAGAAAAAAATTTGGAAACATGTGGTGTTCTAGCTGGATCATTGGTGAGAAAACTATATTTTTGAAGTTCATAAGTTTTTTGTTTGAGAGCATTAGGAAGTAGGGGTTTCAAAGTTGCTACAGGAGGTTGTTTATACTTTTAATTTTTGTGGCTATAGAAAAACAGGGTTTTTCACATCACCACACTTATAATCCCAAAGCAGGAGTCGACTTCAGATTCGGTATGATATAATTTTTTATAATCCTGTGAACCAACATTACTTGTATAGAAAAGAGTTAACCATTTTAAGGTTCATTCTGGCGATTTGCTTGTATGCATGTGCTTTGGTACTAGTGCAATGATACATTTTTTTGACTATTCAGTGTTCAACATTAAACGAAGAAGAAATTTTTGAAGTTCAAGACAAACTATCTCTTTTTCCCCTTGGGTGGATTCATGTAAGTTCACAAGCCTTCAGTTTTCAATAGATATGTGTGTGATTGTGTTTTCTTTTCCTCTATGTGCTCTTTTATTGGTGAATACATTATACTTGAGTATGGAGTGGGCAAAATCTCATAGTCCTTTTTCATGCATTATGTTTCACAATTGTTATCATTGCTCTATTAATCCATCATCACACACACACACACACATGCTGTTTTGAAGTCAACTGGGTTTCTTGTGGTTTATGAAGCTTCCCTTGGTTGCTTGAGATTGACTTAATTGTCATGGGTAACATGCAGATTTAGATGTAAAAAAAGTTCTAGAGTGTAATTGGTTGGTTACCTGGAAGTATAGTAGCAATTTGTATCCAAGACTTTGCTTTTATCTTTTTGTTGAGCTTGGCACTGATGTTTGGCTGAATCTTTTGAACAGCTTCTTGTTTTTACTATTAGTTTGGTGAAGTTCACGCTTCTTTGGGGTCTTTTTTTTCACTTACAATTTTGCTATTCAATCTCATCTAATATTTGGTTGTTCTTTGTCTGGTTCGTATTATGTGGTGTTGAAATATGCCTTGTTTCACTTGATCTTCATGAAGAAGGATTTATGTTTGAGTAAACTATGTTTTTGACTAGAAGTTTGCTTTCAGACAATGCGTTAGGTTGTCAGAAACTTGAATGCTGATAGCTGAAAATCTTAGTGCGGTTTTATAGGCAACTGATTTCTCTTAAAATAAGTTTACATGCTATTTATTTTGATTTTCAGACACACCCAACTCAGACTTGTTTCATGTCGTCAGTTGATCTACACACTCATTACTCATATCAGGTAAAAAGAACAAGTACTTGCTATATATTGTCCTTATAGAGTGATCCAGTCTCACTGCATGTATCATTCTTTTCATCTGCCTCCTCCAACATATGATTACATATTATACATTTCTCTGACAATTTTTTCTGGTGTGTTTTTTTAGATTATGTTACCAGAAGCAATTGCAATTGTTATGGCTCCAACAGATACATCCAGGTAGATTCTCATTTTCCTCCCAATGTCCATGATATTGAATGCAATCACCATTTTATACTAGAAAAACCAAATCTATCATGGTGAGACAATTGTTTCCTATTACTTGCACTACCTGGTAACTTTTAGTTACTAACTAGGCATTAGTATTTCAAACCTTCACATTTTTAAATGTTCTTCTTCTAAGAAACAGATACAGAAAACTAATGATAGGGAGGATTCAATATACCAAATGAAAATGGGATGTAGAAAGATCTTTCTGCATGCTGAATAAGGAGAAACTTATTTTTTTCACCAAAGGGTGAAAGAAAAGTTCTTTGCTCTGTATGCAGACACATATTCTGTCTTTTAATTTTCATTTTTTCTAATGGATCAAAATGGGCAAAGGATGGGATTATTCCCGTCTTAACGAATAAATTTACCTGCTCAGCTAATTATGTTGGAAAATGATTAAACGTAAGAAGGTTAAATCTTAGCACTTTTGAGTATGATCAATATTTTGTAGGCACGTCTTATATGAAAACAGATATTCCTTGTTATATATACTTTTACATACTTTTTACATGTTAACCAATGTTGCATTCTACTGCAGCCCACATGGTATATTTCATCTGTCTGATCCTGGCGGTGTATCCATTATTCGTAATTGTCAGCAACGGGGATTCCATCCCCATGAGGAGCCTTCCGATGGAACCCCAATATACGAGCATTGCTCTCATATCTTCATGAACCCCAAAATAAAGTTTGATGTTGTTGATCTCCGGTGAGATACAAAGTGTTCAACCCTCCCTGATGAAGTATCAATGGGAAAAGCTTTTCACAGAAGGAATTATGTAAGTGTGCCTTAAAATAACTGTTTTGCTGATACCGATCCTGTAAATTCAACTGAAGAGAATCATTGTGCAAATAGAGCATTCTCATTTTTTTTTGTCAATCATATTGTAAGAATTGCCTTCCCCTCATTCCTTTCCTGCTTTGTACTGTATATTAAGACCTTTTTTTGGTAAAGGAAAATAACAGATTATCGAAGGAAGCACCTTTAAGCTTCTAGTTGGAGATCAAATGCACCCGACCCGTGTCAGATACCATAGCTGCCATGATCCCAGCATCATCATCGCAGCAAACTTTGAATGGGGTGACCTGAAAAGGTCCGGGTAAGCGCCTGCTTTTTCCCACGCCTTTGATCATGGCGGAAAAGCCATATATATCTTTTAATTGGATTGTAGGTAGTTGTGCAAAACAAATAAGCTTTAAGGTAAAAGAAGGCAAGCTATAATTTTTTTGGGTGATCAGGTTTAATTGCTCTCTCCTTCCTGATGGTGTCCGTCGACGTTGATAACCCATCAACATTTGCCCTGCCTCCCATGCTGTGGGTAATGTCAGTTATAATGATGAATGTACTCAGAATTTTCTGTAACTTCTCTGGACAGATCTTCATGCCATTTGAGTATCACTCGTTTTTGCCTCGGTTCAATAAAATTTCTCTCCCGTACGGATAAGAAGTTTTTGAGTATCACTCTTTTATAGCTAGGATTTCACTCGGGTCTGTGATGCGATATTTTGAATCACCAATCAACACGTACAACTTCACTTGTCATGTAAAAACAATTTTCAAGTATTATCACTGTGCCATGATTGAAATCAAAACCAATTAAGAAGTAATCAATATAGGGTAAGATATAAACCCGTGGGCCTTCTCCAACGTAACATGTGTATTTAATTTCGTTAAACTATGGCTTCGGTCACATAATATATAAACTTGTGATCTTGTTACGTAAACATGTGTTCATAGACATCTTCGATATATTTTTAGCTAAAGTCAACTTTGTGCACAAAAGTCATATAGCATGATGTGAGAACATACCTACTTTCGAGTGTCTTTATTATGTTAAGAGAAAAAGTAATATAATTTTAATGGATTTACAAAGCATGATAAAACATTAAGCGGTATATTCATAAACTATATGTTTATGTACAAACATATTTCATATTGGCATATTTAACAATACAACATGCTTAATGAAACTATCAAGTTAAAACGTTTCATTCCATGAGTAAAATAATGACCATTTTTGGCTTAATGCATCACACAAGCTTGCAAGGTTGATTTTTGAATTGAAAACTTTATTAAAAGCTTGTTTCTCCATCTTTAAAACATATAGCTACACACACACAAACACACACATACAAAGTCCTACATCGAAGAGAAACTCCCAGTGGGGAGTAAGAAAGGATGCTATGGTCTCAGAGATGGGAGCCATGAATCTCACATGAGCTATGTACTAGAGTGGTACTAGGAGTATAAGGATTCACATCACCTTTAACCTGCGAGGAACCTTTTGTGGGACAAAACCATGAGGCTAGCGGACAATACCTCATAAGAGTTGGTATGGATCATGACAATTGATATCAGAGAGGACGATGTGTCATTGAGGATAGTGGGCCCTTGTTGAAGTGGGGATGATGTTATGATCCTCACATAGCCGTGAATCTCATATAGTTGAGATAATGCTCTTAGCGAGTTGAACCATAAAGTCTCACATTGATGGGAAACTCTTAATGAGGTGTAAGGTAGGATACCGTGGTCCTAAAGAGGAGAGTAATGAATCCGACATCAACTATGTACTAGAGTGATACTGAGAAGTTCACACTATGGTCCGAGAGAGATGAGTAATAAATCCTACATTAATTATGTATTAGAGTGATATTAAGAATGTAAGGGTTCACACCACCATCAATTTCTTGTGAGGTTTTTTTTGTGGGACAAAATAGTGAGACCAGATGGTCAAAGCGAATAATACCTCATAAAGATTGGTATAGGCATGACAGTTGATTTTAGAGTGGATTTTGAGTACTAGCGATGCGCTATTGAGGACTGTGGGCCCTTGTCGAAGTGGGGGAAGATGTAATAGTCCTTGCGAAGACGTGAATTCCACATCATTGAGATAATGCTCCCACCAGGTTGAGTCATAAAGTCCCACATAAAAGAGAAACTCCTAACGGAAAGTAAAAGGGATGCCATAGTCCTAGAGAGGGAAGCCATGAATTTCACATCAGCTATATACTAAAGTGATATTGAGAATATAAGGTTCACACCACTTTCCACCCGTGAAGCACCTTTTGTGGGACAAAACTACAAGCCAGCAGGTCAAAGCAGATAATACCTTACAAGGGTTAGTATGGACCGTGATAATTGGTATCAGAGCAGCCTTTGAGTATTAGCGATGTGCCATTGAGGATAGTGGGTCCTTGTTGAAGTGAGGAAGATGTCACGATCCTCTCGTGGACGTGAATCCGACATCGTCGAGATATAAGGGAAGTGCCTTAGTCTTAGATTAGAGAGCCATGAATCCCACATCAACTATGTACTAGAGTAATATTAGGAGGATGTGATGATCCTCATGTGAACATGAATCCCATATCGTCGACATATAAGGGAGGATGTCATGGTCCTAGAGAAGAGAGCTATGAATCCCACACAACTATATACTAGGGTGATATTAAGAATATAAGGGTTATACCACCTTCAACTTGTAAGACGTCTTTTGTGAGATAAAATTATGAGACTAGTGGATTAAAGTGGACAATACCTCACGTGAATTAGTGTGAACTGTGACAATTGGTATCAGAGCAGATTTTGAGTACTAACGATGTGCCACTTAGGACAGTGGGCCCTTATTGAAGTGAGGGACGGTGTTATGGTCCTCATGTGAAGGTGAATCCTACATTGTCAAGATAATACTCTTATCGAGTTGAGTCACAAAGTTTCACATTGAAAAGAAATTCCCAACAAGAAGTAAGGGAAGATACCATGGTCCTAGAAGTTCTTATCGAGTTGAGTCACAAAGTCTCACATTGAAAAGAAATTCCCAACAAGAAGTAAGAGAAGATGTCATGGTCCTAGAAAGAGAAATCATTAATTTCATGTCAACTAAGTACTACAGTGATACTAAGAATATAAGGGTTCATACCAATTTTCGCTTGTAAAATCTCTTTTGTGGGACAAAATGCCAAAGTAAACTATACCTCACAAGTGTTAGTGTGGACTATGACAATTGGTATCAGAGTGGACTCTGAGTATTAGTGATGTGTCATTGATAACAGTTGACCCTTGTTGAAGTGGGGAAGGATGTCATGGTTCTCGTGTGAACGTGAATCCCATATCGTCGAGATAATGATCCCAACAAGTTGAGCCATTAAGTCTCACATCGAAGAAAAACTCTCGTAAGAAATAAGGGAACATGCTATGGTCCCACATTAGCTATTTACTAGAGTGATACTAAAAGTATAACGATTCACATTACTTTCTTTTTTATGAGATAAAATTGTGATGCTAGCAAGTCAAAGCGGACAATACTTCACAGGAGTTGATGTAGACCGTAACACTTAAGGTATCTTACAGGAGTTGGTATAGACCATGGCACTTGAGATAGAAAGCTGTGTTTTTCAAATTTCAAGCTTTAGATATCAAATTTCAAAGGATATTCTACAATGATCATCTACGGTTTTCGAGATGTGATTTTATCTAATACTACCATGGCAGGAAATAACATTACCCATCAAAGCAAGAACATCGAGAACATCGAAAAGCATGAGGTACAGCTCTTCTCTATTTATATATATATATATATATATATACCTATCTCGATTTAATAATGAATTCAAAAAAATAATGAAAAAGTTATACTACTATTATTTTCTAACATCTACCTTTAGTTTGTTCCTTAAGTATGCTAGTAATATTCTTTCTTAAGTAAATTAAATCTTATTCAATTTGGTGGAGAAAAATTAAAAGCAATATCTCAAAAATTAATTGGGGTTGTGATGCCCTTCTCAGAGTTGGCCTATTGCTGAGTCTTAGGATTTTTTTTTGCCTTTCCGAAGTCGGACAAAGCACTAGAAAAAGTGACCTCGGTTGATCATCGTTAAACTGCATCTTCCTATGGAATGACAAAAAGAAGTAGTACGTACTGCTGGGGATGTAATCACTTCTTGTAGGCCAGAAGTTTAGCGAAATGGAAGTTTAAATTTTATGTAGTTTAAAAGATAAAACAAGTTGGCATCCACCCAACCTGAGACAAAGAGAAAGCAAAAGAGACACAGAGAGAGAGAGAGTATCATCTGAATTCTCTAATCAATTTGTTTATTTAAGTTTAGAGAAGATTTATTAATTTACCAATTGGTGCTTGCCTCAAATTTTGATGATTAGAAGTGAAATGTTTGAGACTTATCAGATATATTAGTTTTCAGAATATTTATTGATAGATTTAAGTTAAATTTGGCTTTTGTACGTACTATTTAATATATATATATTTGAAAGTATTGTATCTAAATATGATCAATATTGTATATCAATTGATATGTATTTATATGATGGTTTGATATTGATATTTCTAGAATATAATTAAATACTAGTCAAATTTTGTATCGTTATTTGGTATATGGTATAGTAAAAAGAAAAATTATTAATTTACCACTTATTTTTTTTTCCCAAAGAATCTCTAAATTCCATGTCTAAACCCGAAGAGAGGAGGACAATCGCACGATGCCATGACGGGGAGATGTTCATAAAGGAAAATCTGATGCATGCAACCATATATATTTGCAGTAACACTATTGAAGCTATGTCTTTCTCTTTGGACAACTCAATTTATCGAACTAAAGAAAGTAGGTAAATTCTGTTATAAAGAGGAAGAAATTAATTAACCCCAAGAAGCAAACCAAAGCAAGACAAACAAATACCAATAAACAACTGTAATTAGAAGCTATATATAATGTCTTTACTAGACAAATGAGCCACGATTGATAGCAAGATGTTCCACAAATTAAAATAAAAAAACATAAGGGCCCTTTAATTACATGATATTGATTAGCAAAAGTCGAGATTTTACGTATAAATGGACTTTTTTTTTTATTTTGATAAATGCATAAATGGATGAACAAGAGCTTGGAGGTTTAACCAGAGTATATAGCCAGAAAAGTTGGTGAACGTTAGTGTAGCGTGACAGTACTGAGGGTTAATGGACAATTTCGGACCAATAAAAACTAAGGCTTAAATAAGGAAAAAAAGAAAGTGGGGTTTGCTTACTGACTTTGGGTACATACATAAAAGTCCTAACTTGTGCTGTTATGGATGTATGATTTTGAACATATTCATCCATCTACTATGGCAGCAGATTTATTCTCATGATTTTGAGAAAATTTTAGTCTGTAATCCTTCAATCATATTTGTATCTTTTTCTTCTCTCCGTAATATTAGTAATTACATTCTCTGTACGAGGGAAAAGAGAACGTTATGTATCGAAATGGGAATAAAGTTTATAAAGTTTATATATATATATATATATATTTATAATTTTACATCATATGTTGGGTGAAAATTTGAATTACTTAATTAAGGACGGACCACGGGCTTCAAGTTGATTTAAAGGGGTTGGACGTCATTCCTGTACCTAGACCGACTAGGAAAGATTGCTGCTGGTGTACTCATCACCTAAACAGCTCACTCTTCTTCTTTTTAAGTATAATCATTTTGGGTTTCGGTAACTGAAAGTTCCTGAATTAGCTATTGGATAGACCTTAATAAAAGACAAGAAAAAGAGGAAATATTAATGGACTCGTGGACCTTCCTGCACCATTCGAGAGTGAACTTCATTTCCTTCGTTAATTTGTTAGCTTTTTGGGTCTAGCAAATTTTGAATGACTGAATGGTCCTAGATTAGTGAATAAGGCAGTTTGATTAATTCATTCCATGAATTACGAAATGTTTTGCCGATGTCAGTACTTTGTTTATAATCATTCCTAGGGCATATGCAATGATCTCTGTTAAGCAACAAATTAGTGATTAGGAGTTTCTCTGGCATTGTTCCTATGTCCACATCGTATCACTCTCGTATTTAACCTCTCTGTCCGCGCGAAGTCTATCTAGCAAAGGCAGAAGATCACAGCACCCGCCTCTTCTCTTCTCTCTTTCTCTTTCATGTTCAGTGGCTTTTGGAGAGTGAATGCGGGAGGAAAAGAGAGAGATGGGGAGATCTCCATGTTGTGAGAAGGTGGGGTTGAAGAGGGGGAGATGGACAGCAGAGGAAGATGAAATATTAACGAAGTACATTCAAGCCAGTGGGGAAGGATCCTGGAGGTCATTGCCCAAGAAAGCAGGTCCATACTTGAAAACAATGCCGACATGAAGATCTTTTGTGTTTTGTTTGTTTTAAGTGATTATGAATGAAGGATGATCATTTTCCTTTTGAATTAGGTTTGCTGAGGTGTGGGAAGAGCTGCAGGCTGAGATGGATAAACTATTTGAGGACTGACTTGAAGAGAGGGAACATCACTGCTCAAGAGGAAGAAACCATTGTCAAGCTGCGTGCTGCTTTGGGGAACAGGTACACATAATGTTTTTTCTCCTATCAATTACTTTCCACTCTCGCAGATCACCTACACAGATCAGTACTCTCTAAGGTTTTTGCTTTCAGTTTCTGATTTTTGGGTAAATCTTGAGAACGAATATGGAATTTTGAAACCTTAATTCTGAAGAGCAACCTTACATATCATACGACCATCTCCATTTCTCCAAACTGTTCTCCCTCTTTCTCTTTTTGACGGCAGAAGAAAGACTTGTTAATAAAGAGAGGAAGCTGAGAGCAAGCAACAAGCCTTTCAGCCACAGAGTTATAATTGGCTCGTGCATCCTTTCCCCCAAAACGTTGGGGACAATAATAAACATTAAGAAATTTGTTGAACTTTCCTGGTTGTCTAAATACTATTGGAACTTCTTTGCCCCAAGGTTCAGACCTTGATATTGTTCTTAATTTCACTGCTTCCATGAGCAAAAAGCTAGACAGCTTGCCGAGAGGAGCCCATCATACTTTTAAAATTGCCTGAATTGGCCTCAAGATGCTCCAGAGGATGGTTTTTACCAAGCATCCCATCAGATGCATCTGACATCTGAGTATCTTTACTCTTTTTTGGAACAGCTTACTGCTGATTCATCACTGCTTCATGCACGATATTACTTAAACCCACCCTTTTTTTGGCTGAACAAAAGAAAAAAGGAAAGAAATTCCCATCAGATGTTCAATTCCAAAGTTCTGATACCTATTTTTCTTGCCATTGATTGGGGCTGAATGTTAGTGTATGATCAACATCATATTCTAAGAAGCTAGAATAATTTGCAAAATGAAATACCTTAATTTCTTCGAAAGATAGTGATCAAACACTGCCCTTCCCTGCAGTTAGCGTTATGCTGTTAAAAAAGTCCTTTTAGTTCAGTACTTACAGCTAATTAACCAGTCCCTAGGTCGGAATTGCATGATTGAAACCCTCTTCTCAACTTCGATCTTAGAGAAATTCCTATCAAGCTCAAACTTCAGGCATGAACTTAACCCATTCCCCTTCAACTAAAACTGTTTACCCAGATTTCTTTTATATCTAGCGATTGCAAATATTGCAATGTAATGCCAGCTTTAGTTTGGCAAGGTTAAAATTTTCCAGTACTTTGGTTGCTTCCATCCCTTGGTCATGAAGCTTTCATCAGAACAAGAAGAACCTAGTCATTGAGCTTAATTTCTACCATGAGATTTGTTTTTTTTTTTTTAACCAGTATTTTTTACAATGGTTGGACTGTTTTAGGTGGTCTTTAATTGCTGCACAATTACCAGGACGAACAGACAATGAGATCAAGAATTATTGGAACTCTCATTTAAGCCGAAAAATTTACAGATTCACCAAGACAATAAAAGATACCAAACCAGGTGAGATTGATGATATAACAACAGCGGGAGAATGCAAACGGAGAGGGGGTCGAACCAGCCGATCAGCCATGAAAAGACAAAAGTTGGCTTTGCTGTCATTAGGTATTCCTAAGAATGATCTCACCCCAAATGAGGTGATGGAATCCGCAGCCCAAGGAAACACTATTCCTGGAGCACCAATCCAGGACAGAAAAGTAATGAATAATTGGCAACCCAACGAGAACCATGATGAGGACCCTGATTCTGCAGTAGAGGGCAGAAGAAACATTGGGATAATGCATGGTTCGTGCATGCACAGCAGTGCAGGGAAAGCAGGCAAATATGACGAGAGCAAAAGCAGAGGAATAGCATTAAGTTCTGGTGAAGAAAGTTGCAGTGCGGTTGAAACGTACGGTAGCTGTAGCGAGAGAGAGAGCGAGGAGGTTCAGGGACCATACGAGTGGCTAGACAGTGAAATAAAGCGCCTTAGCAGCGTCCTGCAAAGTAAAGGTGTGGATCCAAGTGGGAACCGTGGCTTTACCACAAATGTAGAAAATGAGGCCAGGGTTATAACTGAGGACAGGGTTAACGGGGTCCAAAGGGGCCCGGAAAAAGATAAAGAAAGACAAAGCTGTGGCATCTGGAGCTCAAATGCAGAGATAATTGGTAAATCTGGGGAATTGCAGATGAGTTCCTTTTCATCGCCTGCAGAAACTTCATGGTTCGACGAGGATTGGCTTGATTGGGATTCTGCTGCTGGGTTTGGTCAGTGTCATGATGATGATCAATGGGAACTATGGGATGATTCAGACAAGGTGCTTTGCCAGTTGTGGGATGATGGCAATGGTGATGAATCTGCATGACAGACGTCTGTCTCAGTCAAGCACACCAACATTAACGTATATATAATTACCAATACTAATTTGTTAACGCGAATGTATCTTCTCAATTTTCTACTTTTGGTTTGTTTGTTGACACATTTTCCTTCTATTAAAGCAATCATTGAATAAAGTCAATGCGATATTATCTCGATTTAATATTTAAAATTAAACACGATATTTTCAAATTAAAATTTCATTAATATTAATATATTTAAATTTTTTTAAAATTTTAAAATAATTACATATAAATTTGATTATTTTATAAGTTTTACATGATTTCTCTTTTTATATTATGATATATATATAAGAGTTTTGGGTTCCGTAGATTAAAATTTTTTTTTATTCTAATCTTAAATATGAAAAGTAAAACCACGCGATCCAAGAATTGAGAAGTAAAATCTTAAATATTTACTATTTAAGATGATAAACATTCAGGCATGCATGTTAAAAAAAGAGAATTAGGAGGTGTGATTCTTCAAAAGGTTTGTTGTAAATTCTATGTGGCAGCTGGACATCAAATTAATATATCTCCTCTCTCCTCTCTTTCCTTCAAAAATTTTCAATCAATTTCTAACACAGTACCAACATTTAAAGCTAGGTTTAGCAGATATGTCTTGTTCACCTCCCTTTCAGGTTGACGGAATCATAGAAAGGACAAAAGGCAAATGGTAGAAAGTACATAGGTTAAAAGTGAGGGATGCATGTTCTTCATTTGTCCAAGTTTAATTAGTTGGGGGGGATGGAAGTTCAATCCTTTGACATTGTCAAAATTAAACTCTCTCTCTCTCTTTATAGAATCAAGGGACAAAAGAGTACATTGAAAGTAATATATATTGTTAATTATGATGGTATATAAATAGTTTCAATAATAAAATTAATTGTAATTGGATAAATTAATTAAGATATATCATATATCTTATTTTTAAAGGGAAAGCTATATCTATGTCGTGCTTTGGCTTTTTTATCATTAAGGTATGAATATGATAAAAAGAAAAATAAGAAAGTCGGGATGAAGGAAAAATGAGTTCTTTTGATTTTTTTTAATGGCAATGAGAATATTATTTAAATTATGCTATATAGAGAGTTTAAGTTCCAAACCTAGGGTAAAAGAACATTTAATAAAATAGTCCCTTTACATAGAATATTACTAAAAAGTTTTCATAAAAAAGATCTTTATTTATAAAATCTCTGATTTTGTCGATTTTTTTACAATTGATCAATTCGCTTCTTTAAAATGTGCTTAAAAGATAAATCGAAGATTTAGCTCTTGTAAGTTTGGGACATAATTCATCTTTGGAGAAACTCTATGATTTCAATGTGCTTCTTTTGATGTTGGTGTTCAAGTGTTTTCATTGAAAAGAGTTTTTAGGTTACCCTATCATATTCCATGATTCTTTCTACCCACTTCCTCCTCTTAACGATGGCTCCCTATGCCTTCTTCTTTCATTACCCACCCAAAAAAAAAGGGGTATAAAAACATAAGATTAATAAGAAAAGTCTTCTCAAATTAGCTTTTTATTTTATTTTGCTTTCATGCTAAGTTATCAATTATCCATGTGATAGAAGAGGAAAAATAAGAGTAATCCCAAAACATTAAGCTATATACTTAATAAATTACAATAACATAGGATGTATTTAATGAATAATTATAATTTAATGTCATTTTTCTTTTTCTTCATTGAAATTTCACTTGTTATGTAGAACTAATTTAGGTTGGTGTGGTTGTTTTCAAGTAGGCCCAAATTCCTCGGACATTGGCCTTTTCTTTCCAAGGACAAAATGACCAAAACATTTATTGCCATTGACTTTGCTTTCTATGTCTTTTGCACATGAAACATAAAAATTGAATACTAAAGATTCAATCAAATTTTGCTTTATGCATTTGAAGAAAATTAAAAAGGCTTAATTTTTTTTATTTTACTTTATTTTTATTCTTCATCTAAAAGATTTCAATCTCAAAAAAAAATTTTCCTTATAGAATTTCCCTTTTTTTATTAAATAATTTCAAATTTTAAGTAAATATCCGTAATTAAATTAAATAGAAGAAAAAAAAAAGGAAAAAGAGATAGGACGAAGATATTATGATACTGAATACGTGAAACATATGAAAGTTTCGAGACTCAAAATCATCAATCATATTAAACCATTTGGAAACTTTTTCTTGGGATAATTGAATGCCTGATAATCATTATTTGTTGCACCATAATCTCAGTTAAGCAACAGTTGGAGACTGTTGCTATGTTTACATCATTCACTTTATGCAAACCAACTTAGCACAATACGATGAAAAGTTACATCGTTAAACCACCTACTTCAACATTGATGTTAGCAGAAGTTGTTTGATATCTCCTCTTTGTCTGGTTGGTGCTTTTGGGATTGATAATTTCTTGGGAAATGGGGAGATCTCCATGTTGTGAGAAAGTGGGGTTGAAGAGGGGACGATGGACAGCCGAAGAAGATGAAGCATTGACCAAGTACATCAACTCAATGGAGAAGGATCCTGGAAGTCTTTACCCAAGAATGCAGGTATCCTTACTTCAGCAAGAATGTGAATGTAAGTGAAAGCAAGACGATGATTTTGTTTTGTTTTTTGTTTGAAGGTTTGTTGAGGTGTGGGAAGAGCTGCAGGCTGAGATGGATAAACTATTTGAGGCCAGACTTGAAGAGAGGGAACTTCACTGCTCAAGAGGAAGAAACCATTGTTAAGTTGCACAGCACTTTGGGGAATAGGTAGGCATTTTCTCCTGTTGATTTTCTTTACATTCATGCAAAAAGTATATATTTTGCCATATAATTAATGCATTAGAAAAGTACTTTTGGTTCCAATTTCCTCTCCATTTTTCTCGTTAACTTATCACAGTTAACTAAGCTTGAGCACCTAAACAGCTCCATGCACAATTCCAGCGCCACATTTCTAGTTAGAACATGTCCAACTCCCTAAGCATTAACAAATGCACCAAAGAAGCCAACCATCCCAGTACCTACAGATTAAAATCCAGGAAAACGTACGTCCTTTATATCACCAAGCCCTTTGCTGGTAATGAACACCATTACATCTAGGGTAACACTTCAGGAAAAATCAAATTCAGCAGCAACACTGGATATCTTTCATAAAACAGTAAGGCCACAATCAAGAACCAAAGAAAAACCTTCAAAACCTCCCCTAAAATCACCAAATTTTAAGTGTATCATGATCCAAAAACATGCCAAAATTATCACCTCATGTGTAGAAGCTTGCTACACCTAATTAGAATTGTATTGGAAATGGAAAATTTAATCTGGAAACATGGTATCTATATATCAAACTTTTCTTAAATTCAGACTTGAGAGAAAAGATTCAAACCCCATTTTTTGAAGGATGGACACATATATATACACCTATCAATAGGCTCAAACATCATTACCTATCAATTTTAGAATTGAATCGAGTACTGTATTTTTCTTTTGAAATTTGAGTTGCGTCGGCATAGATTCCTTCTTTGTTTTTGCAACCTTCGGATGTGTGTGTAGGTGGTCATTGATAGCAGCAGAGCTGCCAGGACGAACAGACAATGAGATAAAAAATTACTGGAAGACTCATTTAAGGAGAAAAATTTACAGCTTCACCAAGAAAATACATGATGGCTCTCCACATATGGAGGCTGTCCGAATTGGTGACTTAGCACACAAACACAAAGGTCGAACCAGCCGGTCAAACATGAAAAGGCAGAAGCTAGCATTGATGTCACTAGGGATGGCTAGCAAGAATGGCACAGGCACTGCAACTGATCAGGAAACTGAAGGCGCGGCAGAGAAAACCAACATCATTGGACAAATGAGGGACACCAACATTTTGAGAGATTTGCAGGCCGGGGAACTTGGAACAAATGGTTGTTGTATGAACAACGATGCGAGGACTGTAGATGGTTGCATTAATGATAAGAGTGACAGCCCAGCAATATGTTCTGGCGACGAGAGCTGCAACAATAACGCTGCTTAAGTGCTGTACGACCCCAGCGACAGGGAAACTGGTGTCATTGAACCATATGAGTGGCTTGATAGTGAAATACAGCGGCTTTGCAGAGTGAATTTGCGGTGGTGGGTCCTAGTGGGGATGGTTGCTCTGACCCCAAGGAAGAGAATGGCAGTATCATGGTTATGACTGAGGAGATGGACAGTGAAATCCCAGCGTCCGAAAGTGATGACGAGGAAAGAGGTAGCTACAGCATTTGGAACTCGGATTGTGGGAGGAGTTCTGGAGAGTTGCAGGTGTGTCGTTCATCACCATGGAAATTCATGATTTGATGAGGGGTGGCTTGGTTGGGATTTTGACGAAGCTGATGTACTTGGGATTCGGAGCCATGATCGATGGGAATCACGGGATGATCTTAATTACTTCCAAAGTGTTAATCAAAACCATCAGGGAATCATGGGATGATCTTATATACTTCGTAAGTACTGTTGATAAAAATGATCACTGATATATGTAACATTACTTGTATAAAACACTAGTGTAGTTATTAAGTGTGAATGCGCTGCTACATATATTCCATGAAAAGACACGCGAATTTTCGCATAAATTTTTTATCTTTTATTTAGAAAAATGTTTAAATTTTGATTTGTATCCAATCACGTATTTTAATCTTAATGAAAAAACTAATTGTTAGTAAGATTTAATATTAATTAATATTATATATTTATTATGCGATAGAGAATGTGATAATGTGAAAAATTGATATAATCATGTCCTTTTTTTTAAATAAATATTATTTATTTTTTATGTGAATTTATAATTTATAACATGTGCAGTTGTAATCCTACAGGTACATGTGCATGTAATTAATCTAATAATTAGATGTTACATTTCAAACATAGGTTTCATGTCCCAGATTAGCCAAGGTTATACTTGAGTTAATTTTTTGCTAATTATCAGCAAATATTGTATGTAATGAATGCACTATTATTTGAATGAAGCAACTCTATGATCAAACTGAAAATGTTAATTCAATGATGCCTTGATATGAAGCAATAATTTGAAGAATGAACTTTTAAGAATCTTCATGAGACAAAGATCCCCCCCAAGGGGTAAGATTTATGAAGAGAAACATACATTGGAAGTGGCAAAACTAAAGGCTTAAAACAGTGCAAGCTATCATTGATCAATTCAGCAACCAAAAGCATTCAATTTAGCCCTCACTGTCTCCAAGTACAAATGCACTCATCAACTTTAAAGCCCTGGCCATTTCCCATATAGGCCATGTGCTTGTGCACGAGCTCATCCATTCTACACCTGGTGTGACTAAGCAGAAAGCATTAAAGTTGCAAGACTTCAGCAACCACCTCATCAACCAAGGTGTTCAGTATTTGACCCTCAATGTCTGCTCCAAGTGAAAATGCATCAACCTCAAAGTCCAGCCATTTTCCATATTGACTGCTCATGTCCTTGTCCACAAGCTCATCCACCATACAATCACCCATGCCTCTCCACCCTGAGATCTCCTTGTACACTTCTTCAGCTAACCACTCATTTCTTCTCAGAATCATCATCCCTTTTGCCCATGTTCTGCATCCCCCACCCACGTACCGCCTGCATCTCAAGTCTAAGCATTCGCTGACAGAATCAAATAGTACCTTCCGTTCTAGCCTAGACTCCCCACCATTGCTTCGAAATCCTGCTCTTCGGCTTTCCAACTTATCAAAAAGATGAGGGTTTATGATTTCACGAGCACGGCCTAAGGCAAAGTCCTTGACCATCAATTCCACATTACATAGTATCAGCTTTACATATTCTAGTTCCCAGTTGACTGATTTCATGGGATCTGACTTAACAACAGTATTTTGATTTCTTTTAGCCACAGTTCCAGGACATAAGGAAGAAGCTGAATCTGATAAATCTGTGTCAGCGTCTAGTGAGCGTAACTTCTTTGAAGAACTCAGCCCAAGAACTTCCTGAGCTTGAACAGATGAGCAGTGCTTGCTTCCTGAAATTGTATCAGAGATACAGATTAGTATACCTAAAGAAAAATTTATGCAACAGATTTAATAACGAACATAAAGTATAAGCCACTACTTTTACCTTCTATACTGCAACTATCTGTGCTATCTGAAGAGTTGCAGCTTTCAGTCGAAAAGGAAGGTTCAAGAATAGAAACTGGACTAGGTTGCCGAGCATCAAGACAGCTACTGCTGCATTCATCGCTCTCATCTCCCTGAATGTGCCATATTAGCATTAATTATCATCATGTGAAATAGTTTTGATGCATTTTATAGCAACACTCACTCAAGCTTGAGATAAAAGAATGGTTAACCATTAAAACTCCAAAAGAAGATACATTCAAGCAGCAGATTATCTAGTTAGAAGCACAACAAACAAAGAAAACTTGAGTGGAGTTTTCTTAGAAAATTGAAAAGCTAAGTCTTTTACCTGAAACTTATGCTTCAATCTGAGCAGTTGAAGATCAGTGGAGGAAAGGTTGGAACCGTGACAACTACCCTGTTTATCATATAAGCTCGGCGTAGTGGTAACAGCATTAGGCGTGTGCACCAGGTCTTGTGAAAATGACATAGAATTAGAAGCTGATCCTGAATTGAGAGATTTGTGGCAAGAAGATTCAACTGCATTACTTAATTCCCTTAGCTTTTGCTCCAAAAGCATACTTAAAGCATCTCCTCCTATGACATTATATCCCAACGAAGACAACTTCATACTCTCAGTGTCAAGCAACAATCTTTTACCCTGATTATCCATGCAAATGCCGTTATTTTTCTGTGCAATCTGAGCAGATGTTTCCATTGACCGGGTTAGTGGGGCTGTGAATGTGAAGGAGACAACATCCATGCCTTTCTTCTTGCTATCTTCTACCCAGCTGAAGTTCCTTTCAGTAACAGGATGATCTTCCTTTTGATTTTTTTCAATCAACACATTATCAACAACCTGATTTTTCTCAAATTGGAAATTCCTATCAATCGATCTTTTCTTCCTTGGGTTCTTTGTACCAGAATATGGACCTCCTTTTTCACTATCTGTTGCACCAAAGCCCAACTTCCTTGAGCCAGTTTTGGAATTCCCAACAGTTTTACCTGACATTTTGTGTCGCCCAAAGGAAGAATCCCCAGAGAGCACTTTTCTACTGTGCAAGTTGGAAGCCGTGGACTTTGAAGGTAATTTGTCTTTATCAACTATACAATTTTGCTTCTGATTGTTCTGCTTGAGTACACCAGAAGCATTGTGCATAGAAGATTTCTTATGCAAACTCTTTTGAGTACATGGTTGGCTCTTGAATGGTTGACTTGACTTAACCTCACTCTGGTCTTTCTGCCCGAGAAAACTTCGACTGCTGCTTGAAGCCAATCCTTCTCTTTTCTGTACATTGACCTTTGCTTGGATTGCAAGCGAAATAGACTTACCCTTACTCTTTAAAACGGAAGAAATTTCTTCTGTATCAGAAGCCCTGGGTGATGTTGTGTCTGTTGACCCATTCCAACTCTTGTTCAGAGATTGTCCTTTAAGATACTTGGCAGCATTTGACTCAACTGGTCTTCTAGTTGTTTCAGTGAGCCTGGATGTTTTTTGGGCAGCTTCCACTTTCTCTTTCAAATCTCTAACTTTCAAGGGCACAGAAGAAGATCCAACCATAGGCATTTTCTGTGCAGCCTCCATTTTTTCTTTGAAATCGCGAACTTTCACGGGCACTGAGGATGACCTGACCATAGGCATTTTGGCTCTAGAAATAGCTTGGGGGCCAGGCTCGATAATTCTTGCAGCTGCTTCCATTATGTGAGCAGCATTCTTAGTAGGAACAAAACCAGGACTCTTGATAGGAGACAAAAGTTTATGATGGGTAATTGGAATTGTTTTAGCTGCCTTAGGGGGCAAACTTTCAGTTTGGAATCTCTCTATGGGCTTGCTGATTATCTTCTGAGGCTTTGACTCCCCAAAATTCCTGGCAGGGCCCTCCATCTTATTGAACAGATCTCCAGGATAAATTATTTTCTGGTCATGATGATAATTAAGGTTCCTATTTCGGAAATGAGCATCTCGAAGAGATTGAGTGTCAAAAAAAGGGGTGGAGTAAGGCTCAGAAGACGTAGGCAAAGAATCTAATCCCATAAGCCTGGCCACTACACTAGGGGCCCTAGCTCCATATATGTCATCATCAGTAACTGATGAAGCACAACTGTAATCACTACTTCCTTTGATGCTTGTCCCTGCTCCAATTTCATCCTCATCCATCTGCAATAATCACAACAAGAATTGTAAAGAGTCTCAGATTAAAACACTCCGTCAAGAGTGTAATGAGATCTATGCTGAAATCATTTGGAATTGCCATGTTCTCACCAGATGGAATCGTGTCATTGGTAAGTTTCCATCACTTCTCTTCCCCTGTTTTGAACGCTCTAAAAATTCAAAGAAATAATACTGATTAGTGACCATAAAAAAGATATAAACTATTACGGTACAAGAATATAACTTTCACTTGCACAAAGCTGTGCATGGTGACACGCTTCCTGTTGCATGCTCATCTGCACCGGGGAGGCAGTTATACCTGGAAAATCTGACTTGCTCGAGAATAACTTCTTCCGAGATTTTGCAGTCCAGTCAAATAGCTGAAAAAATCCACCTACATAACCTCCTCCATTTTTTGAACCTTCTTTGTCAACCCCCATTGTATGAACGCAGAATCCAGGGCTGCTCAATTTATATAAGCAAATGATACAAAGAGAAATAGAAACTCTGTTCCACCAACCAAATCCATCTGTAGATGTTATTAACACAACAAACAGTTCAGTTACCAAGTAAAATTGAATTTCTTACACAATCAAACTCTCCATTAGAAGTTTTTATTACATATTCCTACAAGAATCTAAATCATTTTAAGATGTTAAGTATGCGATGTAACTTCTCTTACTAGGATCTCCGTTTTTCAAAGCAGAGAAAGAAACTAAGCACCATTACATTTTAAAGAGCTGTCTATGTAAGTTTCCTTCAATATTTTATTAGATGAAATGGAAGGTCTGATGTCTATATAGAATCCTTAGAAGGGAAATTAGAAGACAATTAATGGAGTTGAACTAGCTGCTCCTTTAGCCCAGAACTTAAGATCTCTAAAAGTGCAACAAGTTAACATGGTCAAATGCAGTATCTCCATCTTCATATCACATCAGACTTAAATAGCCGTTGCAGAACTTCAAACAGCTAAACTTTGTCAAGAAAACTAGACAACAGAAGAACATGAAGTGAACACTTAAAACACATGTACTCCTGCTACCATTATCACCATCTTAGATCTATATCACAATGCACTCAATCATAAGGATTTCAACAATATTGCTCTCACAATTTCCAGGTCAGAAGCAACTTAAGATGTCAAACTCTGCTATATCAAATCTCTCTACCTGTGCCTGTATATCTATCCCCATAATTTCCCATGATAGCCTTGCTACTGAAAAAGCAAAGACCATACCATGTAGCATTTGTCTTTGACCAGAGAAGTTCAACAGCTGAAGTTTCTATGGTACCAAAGTGAATCAAAAAACTTGTAGAAACTAATTGCATTGACTCAGTTTACTAAATTAAACACCTCAGATCCCAACTCTAACCAAACTGCGAATCAAATGCTCTTCAGCACTATTTAAAAAAAAGAAAACCATTTTACTAAAACTAAAAGTTTGTCTAAGAGAGAGAGAGAGATTGCTCCTTTAATGTACCAAACAATTCAATTTCATTGAACCTGCATCAAGAACACTATATTCAAACTTTTTAAGTAACATTCCTCTCCTAGACTTCCTCAGCACCTAAACAAAGCCCACATGAACAATTTAACAAGAAAAAAAAGACCCATTAATCAATTCCATGCCAACCAACAAGCAAAACCAATACCTCAAACATCAATAAACAGCAACTTAACACAAGAATCAATGCCCACAATCTTCTCACTAATCCATTAACAAAAACCAAAAACTTCAAATCAAAGGGAAAAAAAACCTTACATTGAAAAACTAATTGAGTGAGATCAGCTCAAAAGCAGCTGAATTTTTCTGGGTTCAGCTTAAATATAAAGAAAAGAGTAAGCTTTGATATGGGTTAAGCTTAAATTTTAGATTTTTGAAAGAAACAAAAGCGAAAGGCTCCTCCTTTGAGTGTGAGAAATGGACAGAGAGACAGAGAAATAGAGAGAGTGAATTGTAGTTCAAAGCAATAAATGGAGGCAGAGTAAATAACATGGGATTTTGTTTTTTGAAAAAAAAAAAAATGATTATTCGTTTGAAATAAAAATTAATTTAAAGTTTTATTATTAAAAAAGGAGGAAAAATTAAAAGGCCTATAACGTCTCTTTGGAGGGGGACGAGATTTCAAATTCCAAACGGAGACTTTGGAGTGGTCCTGGGGTTTCTGATAAACTCACGCATAAGTTTCATTAAGTTTGTGTACTACTTGATGGACTGGTGCACACGTGTTCAAAAGTCCTATTTTTTTCCAAGTTGAGGGTAACATGGTAAATTGCGTGTCTAATCAAAACATCAAATGGGGCTTGTGTAATTGGGGTCTCAATGTCTTCATGTTGCGGTCTTCAAGCACAAGAAAATTTGTTCCAAGGTGTATTACCTTATCTGCTCCTCTCATTAGATATTTTTTTTATAATTTTACGTCACAAATTTAATAAAATTTTCAAACTAAATTTAAAATTTAAAATTTTTAGTAATATAAAATTGAATATTTAACATAAAATTATATAACAAGATGTTGAAGATAAAGAATTTCTATTTTTATTATTCCCATTGAGTTAGTCGTGTTCAATAATTGTAAAGTGGGCCAAATCTGGTTACTTAAAAGGAAATTATGGAAAGGAATGAATTGCTGATTTAAATGTAGAGCTAACTTCTAATATTCTACAATGGTAGATTTGATTTTGTACTTGGAGATAGTTGCAGATAGGAGAGCCCAAATTTAATGAGAAATATAATGCTGTCAAGGTAAGGTTCTAAATCAGGTTTGCCATTTTTGCCTGGAATAAGATGATGAACACTGTCTGAAAGTAACCAACCAAGCTCATCCTGTCTTGTTTTCTTTTCAACCTGCCTGGAAATGTCAGCCCATAGAAGACAATGTCAGCTTAAAACTTGCATACAAACGTTGTTATTGCCCGAGATTATAACCAGGAACGACAAAGAAAAGAGCATTGGTCCTGTGAATTGTTATGTACAGCAAAAAAATTCAACATATTCTTCCTTGAATTACTTGTCGTATTTTACATTATCTCCAGGAGCAAGGAAAAACAAGATTCAAAAAAACAACCCCCTCTCTGCTTCATCTTGATCATCATTGCAATCTAGTAGCCACGAACAAATTCGCAGTACTTGTTCTTCATCCAACGAAACCCGTGCCTTAACGAAGATTTCAGCTTGGCTTCAACAGCATAGGACTTGTACTTCACCACACGGCGTTGCCTCTTCAATTCAGGGTTGCCAACGCCCCGTGTCGGACGAGAACTGTAGTTGTAATTCGTGTAATTGTTGCTGGACTTATTGTGCATCGGTGGTGTTGGTAAACGGATAGGTTGAGGAGGAGGATCCGGGGTGCTGCGATGAGATGATGGTTGATTTGATGAACTATTATTATCTTTCATCCCAAGCCTCCATTCACCACCGAACGTCCTGTTTGCTGCCTTGAAATCTTCCATCTCTCTCGCAGCATCTGCCATTCTTCCTAATTGGCAGAGATTTAGACAGAGAGAGAGAGAGGGAGGGAGGGAGGGAGACCAGAAACAGAGAAGATTTTCTAAGCTATAATGCTTCAGAATCTTGTTATGTATAACACAAATGATGGTTTTTAAGGAGATGAGGAGAGAGGAACCTGGTTTATGTTTTTCCTGAGGTTGTTATGTGGACACTACCAAATATTTTAGTGTTTATTGAATTGTAGAGCTGTCTTGTGTTTGAATTTTGGTTGGTTCCTAATATTAGACTCTGAAACTTTGAAGAATGTTAGACTTGGTTGGATGACCTTGAATCCCTCCCTGTTTTCAGCTATCTATTAGATTGTTTACAGTCCCCTTAAATTAAACTTGAATAGACCAAAGGGTTCCTAGATTTTCAAATTCTTTCTTCTTTCAGAGAAGTTTTCATGTTGGGGGCTTGGAGCATACCATGGATTTTGGATTCTGGGTTACACTACAACTGCATAGTGAACTCTTCGACTGTATTTCTGCTACTTGAGCCCCCTCAGGATTCGAGGGAAGAAAAAAACAAGAAGTTCAAATCCTGGCTCAACGAGCAACAGGGCACTTGCCAGTTAATTAGCCAATTGGAACTGGGAGGAAGAAAAGTAACAGCCAAGATCAATTCTACCCCCTGGAGAAGAAGTCAAAAATTGGACAAACCACAATCATGTGCACCCACATTTTTTTTTCCTTTTTTAGCTTGTAACAGACTCGAACCAGGACTGAAGTTCAAAATCAGGATGTGTTCTCCTAGGGACCAGTGGCTCATCTCGAGGTAGTGGATGACGGTGCTAGCCTCAAATGGAGATCTATGTTATCTCCTTCATTTACTTCCGTAGCTGCTGATGAACCCGATGTTGAGCTCACGCCAACTTCAGCTTGTACTTGAAAAGGTCCCTGATCCTGTTGCGACCCGCCAACATGAAAGGGACAAGGACCCCTTTGAGGTAGCATTGGCAGAGATGTAGCCGAGAGACCCCGAAACCGAGCTGCATGATCAGTTGCGGTCATGCTCGTGGACCCTCTTGCATAAATCAACCGCCTTGATCGAGCTGAATGCGCCGTGATAACAGGGCCAGAAGTCACAAACCGTTGTTGTTGTTGATGATGATGATCGCCGAAAAACGAGGATTGTTTTGCTCGTCGTTCTCTTTTGTGCGCATTCTGATGGCCACCCAAAGCTTGAGAATTGGCAAAACCTCTGTGACAAAACTGGCACTCAAATCTCTTGTACTCTGCATTTCCTGGAACAAATCCAGGCACTTTGTCATAGGCAACTACAGGAAAACCGAAAAGCTTCAGTGTTGAAGGTTGTTTTCTGCCAGGCTCATCTGCGCCATTGGTTTCTGGTTCACTCATGCTAAATCAAACACCAGGAGAAAGGGCTGCTTTGCTGATGTAAATTTTTTTGGAAATCCATAGAAATATATAGAGAAGGAGTATATCTCCCATGCAGACTGACGCAAATACCCTCAATCAGAGAGTGAGCAACCATATCCAAAACTACAGCCTGAGTTGTTCAGTTTACTGTGAATCCCTTTATAAATTCCCTTTGATAGAAGACAAGCACTCGTGCGAAACTGAAAACATACCTATAAAGTAAGTCCTAAGCTTTCAGCGCGTGCATCATGTCCTTTCAACATCCCATGGTATGTAGTGTTTGTCAACACTAAACGATTGCAGATATGTTTGTCTGTCACAAATATATTCTTTCTTTAATCTCAGTTCAAACTAGTCAGCAGTCCTGATATCAGCATTTCGATTTCTGTTTCTAGTCTGATGAAAAGGGTAACAAGCTGCAGCATGCAATAAGGTTCTTTCTATTGATTTGCCTTGGAGAAAGCAATGGACTATAATTTTCCATAACATGGCAACATGATACATTGCTAAAACAAGCAAAGGGAATGCTTGATGATTCTTGGTGACGGTCGGCCACTGAGAGACGCCCAGGATGGTTCTGCATGCTTTCTTTAGAGCCCGAGATAATTAATAGCAGTGTCACCCACAATGCGACCTCCTTTGACTTCACTAACTAGGATATGCCTTTGTGAAACTACAACCACCATCGAAAGTGTCCGAGAAAAATATCCCCCAAACATTTACACTTCGAAAGCTAGATACATAGCCTGTAATCATTAACCTTCCTTGTTGGTTCTTCACCACCACTCCCCGTCAAATTGAACTTTTGCATACGTATGGGAAAGCTCTCCAATAACTCATCATGTTTCTTAAAGTCCTAAAATGCTCCTGGCTGGCTGGCCTGATGATTAGATACTCACTTCCTAAGAAATGGAAGAGTCAAAGAGGACTTGAATATGTAATTAATGTATAATTCTTTTTAATTTATTATATGAGAAGTGATCGAATGATGAGATATATAACACGAGCATGTATATGTTTATCTATTCATTACGTCGTGTTTTTCTAATTATTGAAAATAATTACATGTATCACAACCCTCCAACTTAAACATAACATATGGTACTGTGATTCCTTTTTTGCTAGGTAAAAGGGACCAAAACGACATCAATAATGCCACTAAATCCTCACTGTCTAGGCGTTTGGTAGTCCAACCAATGCCAATAATTTCGAAGCTTTTTAACCCATCAAGTCCCTTGTACATATTGGCCCTGTGAGGTTGGATTCTTACAGGGACATATTTTCTCTGTAACAGCACAGGATGGGAATAGCCTGAGGCCGGTGGATCCTGGAAACAAACATTGATGGCAGTAGTATCAGGACGAAAACAACTAAAAAGTGGGAATAGGCAGGTGGAGAGATGGAGCTCGTGCGATGATCATGGTAGGGAAAACATGATCACGACTTTTGATTGGTTGTTTTGGTTTTCTTTGATGAGGCAAAGGTCACACATTCCGAAAATGGCCAAGTTAAATCATGTCACCTTTTGGAAAATTGTTCTTAATTGAAATGTTTCATGTCCCATTCAGTTTGTTGTTAGAGAATGTAACCTTTCAATATAATTAAGTAGACAGACATATCTCATTGATTAAGGTTCCAAGTTGATATTGTGTTTATGAACGTAAATCTTTAAAAAGTTTTTGTAGTTGAAACTTATACAAACATATTTTGCTAATTAAGTTCTCAATTTGATAATTATATAATTCTCATTTCTTATAATTATGATCGTAAATTTTTAAATGTTTTTGTAATTGAAATTAAGACAAACCTATCTCACTTATTAAAATCTCAATTTAATAATTACACGATTGCGGTCGCATGCTTTTGTAATTGAGAACCAATTCATTAAAATCGTAATTTTCATACTTATTTTTAAATTTGATAATTGCTATTAAACGCAATTCAATCACCTTATTAAAGAGGATGGGTTATTCACATCTCATCGCTCTCTCTTGTTACTAAAGAAAATCTTGATATATCGAACTCAAAGTTCTAATACCATATTATAAAAAAAATCTTTTATATTATAAAATTATATGCTATAGAGAAATTTAAATTATATAATATATATTAACACAAACATATATTTTTTTAAAAGAAAATTGAAATTAAACTAGCCAAATTAAAAGGTCCACTAGAATAGAAGTAGGCTACATCAATAGTCACTTACTACAAAACGTGACAATGTGGCCCCGAAATTTGCTCATTTCTGTCATAGAAAGCATAGGCATACTCCATATGCTTATGTTTTGTTTTTATTATTATAAGGTCAACCAAATAATACATCCTTTTTTGTCCACCTCATCTTTTTCGACTTTATTGACAATGATTTAATTAATTTGAATCATAAATTTTGTGTCGATTTCACTTAATAACGAAAAGAGTTGACTTAAAATTAAAATATGAATCTTTCTCGATTCAATTTTTAATGTTTTATAATGACAAAGACGAAACTTGAGTCACTTAAGCTTGCTTTAAATGAGATTAGATTTGGATTAAAACAAGATTAATTAAGGGTTTATGGCAGGAAACAAAATCCTTTGAGCCTTGCTTTGTGTTGCTTGTCTCAAAGATCAGTCCAATTTTTGAATAAGATAAGACCCATTTTGTTTGGGCCAGGCCAGCCCCATGAAGAGATTTTGCATGATTTATTTCATTAAAGAAAAACTCAGTGTTAAGTTTTTTCTCAAAATTTTGACTTTAGAAAATAACAGAAGAACCGTTATAATTATAAAATTTATATTTATTATCATTATAATCAAATTTAACAATTTATATAAACATTTATTGGTATATCTTATTTTTTAATATAGATTAAAAAAATAAATTCGACAAAACTAACAGTATAATTAAGATTTACGATGAGTAATATATATTTTTTTGAAAGGACAATGGCTAGTATATAAATATGTGCTAGATAATATTCAACTGATATAAATAAGACTAAAGTATTTTATAAACAAATTCAAGTAGGGTACACAAAGTAATTTCAAGTATTTTTCATTGAAACTTGATTACAGATAATAAATTTTAATATTTATATTACTTTTTATTGGATGTATTATTTGTAATTGATAAATTAGTTTTTTTAATTTATAAATTATTTAAATATAAAATTAATTTTAAATTTATTAATTTAATTTTAATAAATAAAATAAATAAAAATAATTAAATTTTATTTTGTTTAAAGAATTCGGATCGGATTGAAATCTGTAACGAGGACTCACGTAATTTAAAACTAAATAAGCGTGTTGGAATTTTAATAACGTATTCATTAGTTGGAGTTGGATTTATTATTAGATTTTATAATCGGATTGGAATACGGGAATTTTAAAATGAACGGATATTACCCGTTACATTTTTTATTTTTCAAGTATACTGTAACAACAAGCGCAATTTAGCATCAGTCGGTGGCCAGGAAGGCAAAGTGACGAGCCAAAGCCACAAGCCTCAAAGATCAGGGTAGACTCTAACGTACGCCGACCGACGGGGATACGGCAAGCCCCGCGCACGCAGCAAATGCGTCACAAGAAACACGGGTTTCCCGTGAGAATCGTTGGGACTTCACGCTCCTCCATCGCGCGTATCCATGTACAGGAAAAAGTATCCCCAAGAAATCTCGGTCTCGAAACGGACCCCACCAAAATCAACAACCCCCTTATTTCGATCCAACGGCTAATGATCAACATGCGCGCACGATAACATCGGGTACCACCCTAACGGCGCACGGTAGTCAACCTCCCCTGACAATAGTTATCGTTCCCCAGAGGATGCGCTCTGCTCACCCCTCCTGAGCCTCCCCGCCAGTTTCATCTTTTCTCTATTCCTTTTTTACCACTTTGTTTCAGTTCGTTATTGACCGTTACAAAAACATAACTTTTCACCTAGAAAATTCCAGGTAAATTTTTCTTTCAGCTTATTAAGTTGAAGAATTTCTTTTTGAATCGATCCCTTATACTTTGTGATGATTTTTCTTTTCTGGGTTTGGGTTATTTTTTAGAGGGATTCCAATGGCTAAGAGATCAAGATTGCATTGAGAAATTTAGCTCTCAAGTGAGTTCCTTTTGGTCCAATTTAAGCTTTAATCCAACCCCTTTTTTGGGGTTTTGATTGTTTTGATCAAGCTTAAGTTTTTTGCCTGATTTTGATCTAACTATGCTGGAATTGGTGGAATACATGGTGGAATGCTTATACCCTTTAATCTGAAATGTTAGTCTACACATTGAGTTAATGGAAGAAGTAGCATTGTTATTGTTAAATGTTAATTTTCAGTGTTCAATTATTAGTTATTTCTAATGGATGTTATGAGGATATGAAGCATTTTGGAGCTAGCATGAAGAGTGTTGATGGAGAAGAAAGGTAGTTACTTTACTTGATAGAATGTGGTTCCTTAGAAACCAGAGGGACATCATGGTCTTGTTATTGTGTTATGACAGTGTTTAGCAGCTTCTTGCATTCATAGTATTGCTTCTTCTCTTGATGCAGAAATTTAATTGGCTTGCCCTTTATTTAAAAATTTTGTTTAACTATGAACTATTATTGTTTTTAGGTAGTGTATCTGCTATTTCATTTATCTATTGCGGAAAGAATGTCAGAAGGAACGAGTATGGTGATGGAATCTTCTGAAAATGGCACTGATTTATCTCAAGATGATACTGGAACCATAGTGGAAATGCCTGAAGACACGATATTGTCACAACAAACTTCTGTGAATCTTGTTCCATTCATTGGCCAAAGATTCGTATCACAGGATGCTGCTTACGAATTTTATTGCAGTTTTGCCAAACAATGTGGTTTCTCAATCAGACGCCATCGAACTCGAGGGAAAGATGGGGTTGGTCGTGGAGTCACAAGAAGGGATTTTACTTGCCATCGAGGTGGGTATCCACAGATGAAGCTGTCTGAAGATGGGAAGATGCAAAGGAATCGCAAATCATCTCGTTGTGGTTGTCTAGCATCTATGCGCATTGTCAAGCGGGCAGATTTTGATGTCCCTGAATGGCGTGTTACTGGCTTTAGCAATGTCCACAACCATGAACTCTTAAAAGCAAATGAAGTGCGTCTTCTTCCTGCCTACTG